TCCAGGTGAAGTGTCACGTGTCTATATGCCTGATGTATACACGCTGTGTCACGTGTGGTGCATCTACATGTATTATCTGTCCAGGTGAAGTGTCACGTGTCTATATACCTGATGTATACACACTGTGTCACGTGTGGTCCATGTACATGTATTATCTGTCCAGGTGAAGTGGCACGTGTCTATATATGCCTTATGTATACACACTGTGACACGTGTGGTCCATCTACATGTATTATCTGTCCAGGTGAAGTGTCACGTGTCTATATGCCTGATGTATACAGACTGTGTCACGTGTGGTGCATCTACATGTATCATCTCTACAGGTGAAGTGTCACGTGTCTATATGCCTGATGTATACACACTGTGTCACGTGTGGTGCATCTACATGTTTTATCTGTCCAGGTGAAGTGTCACGTGTCTATATGCCTTATGTATACACACTGTGTCACATGTGGTGCATCTACATGTGTTATATGTCCAGGTGAAGTGTCACGTGTCTATATATGCCTGATGTATACACACTGTGTCACTTGTGGTGCATCTACATGTATTGTCTGTCCAGGTGAAGTGTCACGTGTCTATATGCCTGATGTATACACGCTGTGTCACGTGTGGTGCATCTACATGTATTATCTGTCCAGGTTAAGTGTCACGTGTCTATATACCTGATGTATACACACTGTGTCACGTGTGGTCCATGTACATGTATTATCTGTCCAGGTGAAGTGGCACGTGTCTATATATGCCTTATGTATACACACTGTGACACGTGTGGTCCATCTACATGTATTATCTGTCCAGGTGAAGTGTCACGTGTCTATATGCCTGATGTATACAGACTGTGTCACGTGTGGTGCATCTACATGTATCATCTCTACAGGTGAAGTGTCACGTGTCTATATGCCTTATGTATACACACTGTGTCACGTGTGGTGCATCTACGTGTATCATCTCTACAGGTGAAGTGTCACGTGTCTATATGCCTGATGTATACACTGTGTCACGTGTGGTGCATCTACATGTATTATCTGTCCAGGTGAAGTGTCACGTGTCTATATGCCTGATGTATACACGCTGTGTCACGTGCGGTGCATCTACATGTATCATCTCTACAGGTGAAGTGTCACGTGTCTATATGCCTGATGTATACACACTGTGTCACGTGTGGTGCATCTACATGTATCATCTCTACAGGTGAAGTGTCACGTGTCTATATGCCTGATGTATACACGCTGTGTCACGTGTGGTGCATCTACATGTATTATCTGTCCAGGTTAAGTGTCACGTGTCTATATACCTGATGTATACACACTGTGTCACGTGTGGTCCATGTACATGTATTATCTGTCCAGGTGAAGTGTCACGTGTCTATATATGCCTGATGTATACACACTGTGTCACGTGTGGTCCATCTACATGTATTATCTGTCCAGGTGAAGTGTCACGTGTCTATATGCCTGATGTATACACACTGTGTCACGTGTGGTCCATCTACATGTATTATCTGTCCAGGTGAAGTGTCACGTGTCTATATGCCTGATGTATACACACTGTGTCACGTGTGGTGCATCTACATGCATTTTCTGTCCAGGTGAAGTGTCACGTGTCTATATGCCTGATGTATACACACTGTGTCACGTGTGGTGCATCTACATGTTTTATCTGTCCAGGTGAAGTGTCACGTGTCTATATGCCTTATGTATACACACTGTGTCACGTGTGGTGCATTTACATGTGTTATATGTCCAGGTGAAGTGTCACGTGTCTATATATGCCTGATGTATACACACTGTGCCACTTGTGGTGCATCTACATGTATTGTCTGTCCAGGTGAAGTGTCACGTGTCTATATGCCTGATGTATACACGCTGTGTCACGTGTGGTGCATCTACATGTATTATCTGTCCAGGTGAAGTGTCACGTGTCTATATACCTGATGTATACACACTGTGTCACGTGTGGTCCATGTACATGTATTATCTGTCCAGGTGAAGTGGCACGTGTCTATATATGCCTTATGTATACACACTGTGACACGTGTGGTCCATCTACATGTATTATCTGTCCAGGTGAAGTGTCACGTGTCTATATGCCTGATGTATACAGACTGTGTCACGTGTGGTGCATCTACATGTATCATCTCTACAGGTGAAGTGTCACGTGTCTATATGCCTGATGTATACACACTGTGTCACGTGTGGTGCATCTACATGTTTTATCTGTCCAGGTGAAGTGTCACGTGTCTATATGCCTTATGTATACACACTGTGTCACATGTGGTGCATCTACATGTGTTATATGTCCAGGTGAAGTGTCACGTGTCTATATATGCCTGATGTATACACACTGTGTCACTTGTGGTGCATCTACATGTATTGTCTGTCCAGGTGAAGTGTCACGTGTCTATATGCCTGATGTATACACGCTGTGTCACGTGTGGTGCATCTACATGTATTATCTGTCCAGGTTAAGTGTCACGTGTCTATATACCTGATGTATACACACTGTGTCACGTGTGGTCCATGTACATGTATTATCTGTCCAGGTGAAGTGGCACGTGTCTATATATGCCTTATGTATACACACTGTGACACGTGTGGTCCATCTACATGTATTATCTGTCCAGGTGAAGTGTCACGTGTCTATATGCCTGATGTATACAGACTGTGTCACGTGTGGTGCATCTACATGTATCATCTCTACAGGTGAAGTGTCACGTGTCTATATGCCTTATGTATACACACTGTGTCACGTGTGGTGCATCTACGTGTATCATCTCTACAGGTGAAGTGTCACGTGTCTATATGCCTGATGTATACACTGTGTCACGTGTGGTGCATCTACATGTATTATCTGTCCAGGTGAAGTGTCACGTGTCTATATGCCTGATGTATACACGCTGTGTCACGTGCGGTGCATCTACATGTATCATCTCTACAGGTGAAGTGTCACGTGTCTATATGCCTGATGTATACACACTGTGTCACGTGTGGTGCATCTACATGTATCATCTCTACAGGTGAAGTGTCACGTGTCTATATGCCTGATGTATACACGCTGTGTCACGTGTGGTGCATCTACATGTATTATCTGTCCAGGTTAAGTGTCACGTGTCTATATACCTGATGTATACACACTGTGTCACGTGTGGTCCATGTACATGTATTATCTGTCCAGGTGAAGTGTCACGTGTCTATATATGCCTGATGTATACACACTGTGTCACGTGTGGTCCATCTACATGTATTATCTGTCCAGGTGAAGTGTCACGTGTCTATATGCCTGATGTATACACACTGTGTCACGTGTGGTCCATCTACATGTATTATCTGTCCAGGTGAAGTGTCACGTGTCTATATGCCTGATGTATACACACTGTGTCACGTGTGGTGCATCTACATGCATTTTCTGTCCAGGTGAAGTGTCACGTGTCTATATGCCTGATGTATACACACTGTGTCACGTGTGGTGCATCTACATGTTTTATCTGTCCAGGTGAAGTGTCACGTGTCTATATGCCTTATGTATACACACTGTGTCACGTGTGGTGCATTTACATGTGTTATATGTCCAGGTGAAGTGTCACGTGTCTATATATGCCTGATGTATACACACTGTGCCACTTGTGGTGCATCTACATGTATTGTCTGTCCAGGTGAAGTGTCACGTGTCTATATGCCTGATGTATACACGCTGTGTCACGTGTGGTGCATCTACATGTATTATCTGTCCAGGTGAAGTGTCACGTGTCTATATACCTGATGTATACACACTGTGTCACGTGTGGTCCATGTACATGTATTATCTGTCCAGGTGAAGTGGCACGTGTCTATATATGCCTTATGTATACACACTGTGACACGTGTGGTCCATCTACATGTATTATCTGTCCAGGTGAAGTGTCACGTGTCTATATGCCTGATGTATACAGACTGTGTCACGTGTGGTGCATCTACATGTATCATCTCTACAGGTGAAGTGTCACGTGTCTATATGCCTGATGTATACACACTGTGTCACGTGTGGTGCATCTACATGTTTTATCTGTCCAGGTGAAGTGTCACGTGTCTATATGCCTTATGTATACACACTGTGTCACATGTGGTGCATCTACATGTGTTATATGTCCAGGTGAAGTGTCACGTGTCTATATATGCCTGATGTATACACACTGTGTCACTTGTGGTGCATCTACATGTATTGTCTGTCCAGGTGAAGTGTCACGTGTCTATATGCCTGATGTATACACGCTGTGTCACGTGTGGTGCATCTACATGTATTATCTGTCCAGGTTAAGTGTCACGTGTCTATATACCTGATGTATACACACTGTGTCACGTGTGGTCCATGTACATGTATTATCTGTCCAGGTGAAGTGGCACGTGTCTATATATGCCTTATGTATACACACTGTGACACGTGTGGTCCATCTACATGTATTATCTGTCCAGGTGAAGTGTCACGTGTCTATATGCCTGATGTATACAGACTGTGTCACGTGTGGTGCATCTACATGTATCATCTCTACAGGTGAAGTGTCACGTGTCTATATGCCTTATGTATACACACTGTGTCACGTGTGGTGCATCTACGTGTATCATCTCTACAGGTGAAGTGTCACGTGTCTATATGCCTGATGTATACACTGTGTCACGTGTGGTGCATCTACATGTATTATCTGTCCAGGTGAAGTGTCACGTGTCTATATGCCTGATGTATACACGCTGTGTCACGTGCGGTGCATCTACATGTATCATCTCTACAGGTGAAGTGTCACGTGTCTATATGCCTGATGTATACACACTGTGTCACGTGTGGTGCATCTACATGTATCATCTCTACAGGTGAAGTGGCACGTGTCTATATGCCTGATGTATACACACTGTCACGTGTGGTGCATCTACATGTATTATCTGTCCAGGTGAAGTGTCACGTGTCTATATGCCTGATGTATACACACTGTGTCACGTGTGGTGCATCTACATGTAATTTCTCTACAGGTGAAGTGTGAAAGGTACTGGAATACGGAGGCTCCACTACAAGCTGGGATATACACAGTCACTGTTCTAAGAGAGGAGAAGAGGACAAACTGGACCATCAGAGAACTCACGGTCACACAGAAGGGGGTATATACATACACAGACATGACACATTTGTACACTACTTTTATCATCCCGACCATAAGTCAATGCACTAAGTTACCCAAGCCTGTACTTATGGCAAGGCTTTATTGAAACGCTTCAATTTTCATAAATCAGGGAAGAGTAATATGTATAAGATAACACAAGTGTTTGAATCGTTTCAGGTCGTTTTATAATGCTATTATGTCTGCTTTGACAACCTACGTCCAGAACTGACTTTCCTATTATTTGATAAGGCACACACACACACACACACACACACACACACACACACACACACACACACACACACACACACACACACACACACACACACACACACACACACACACACAAAAGAAAGAGAGAGGGAGGGAGGGAGGGAGAGAGGGCGGGGGGAGAGAACGAGGGAGAAGGAGAGAAATGTTACATTTGCACACTACTTTTATCAGCCGGACCATAAATCAATCCAATAAAGTTACCCAAGCATGTATTTATTACATATATAATCATATTATTTATAACGCCTATATTAGAACGTGTTTATATTTAGTATTTTTACTTCTTTTTAAAAGACTTCTTCCATAACGTTCACAGAAACGACCCACGAAAACAGTCCTTCAGTTTCACTTCACGGTATGGCCTGATCATGGTGTGCCGGAAGTGACGTCACTGATGGAGTTCGTTTGGCGGGTGCGGAAAACAAAGTCATCGTTACAAGGTCCCCTTCTCGTTCACTGCAGGTGAAGTATTCCGCCCAAGTTTTCGTCTCATTCCAGTAGTCGAGAGAGTGTTCCTTGTATTCATTTGAATCAGCGTTAATAACAGAACATTCTGCATTATGTACATGTTTGTATAGTTAATATGATTCTACCTTCAATTTCGATATATGAAGGACTGTAGATTTAACGTGATTTTTCCCAAATAAAGGTGTGAATAATAGTACTACAAATACAAATAAAATATACCAAAACACAACTTTTCAAGATGATCTGCACGATTTGCTGGTAAAGACGTAACGTGTTTCTGTAAAGTAAAGTCAATGATGGATTTCCTTTTCATTTCAACACATTTTGAAAGTGTTTATATTTGCTAAGATTGGAAAAAAGCAATACTAGATTTAGCTTCAATGGCTATATTTTCATCTGAATGTGTACGTTTCAATGGCTATAAGCGGATCCATAAGCGATGATACTGATGTCTTTTTTGAGAACCATTTAGAAATTGGAGTACTAAGTAAGGAGAAGATATGTTGATGAACAACTTCTGTGTTACCATTAGGAGCGAAGTTTCGATGTGGTTCTATCACTTGCTTCATAACGGAGTTAGAACCTACCGTTATCAAGCTGAGTCTTATCTTATCCTTACTTAATGACATCAATGGGTATAAAACTATATCCATTTGCATAGTTGTTTCTGGCTGCATGAAAAGCACGCTTTTACGTGCGTGGATAAAATAAATACAATGACATGATCGTGTCTTCCTAGTGCGGGCATTGGCCGGACCGGGACGTACATCTCTACAGACTACTGTCTGGACAGAGGTCAGTCTGAACAGAGAGTGGACGTGTTTGGGTATGTGTCCCAACTGAGGAGCGAGAGGAAGGACATGATCCAGACCCATGTAAGTCTCCAGAATAGTGGTGTGTGAATATAGTTTGACGCGGTTCCAGTTTAGAATCAAGGCGGAAGACACCAGGAATAGCGTTCACACATTGTATCAACTTCGAACCACTCGTTTCCCCTATCGCCCTGTAGTTCAAGGGAGTGAAGTCCATAAATAATCAGTCAAGGAGTGTTTATACTTCTGTATTTCTTACCTGGCTACAGTAAAATTAATTCCCCACAGTCAGCAGTATTCAAAGGCAGCTTTTAACTAATCGAGTCTGGGCCAGGCAAACTAGTGGGTGACAGCGTGAGCACCGATCACACCGTCGTGGAACGGTCGCTACCAGTCGGGTATAATAAAACAGAATCAACCCGCCCCTGTATTGAAACCTCCCGATCCTCATTCTGTGCGGCTCCGGCATCACGGGGTACTTAGGAATCGCCACAACTCCCCTGTTAGTCATTAAGTACTTTCGCATGCCTTTGATATGTTTCATCAGAAATGGCATTCAGATATTTACGAAAGTTCAAGATATGATACTTATCGCCAGTTCAAGTCATCGCTTGAACCAGAATCTTATTTATCAAACTTACGGTAAAGGAATTTTCGTAACATCATTATTCGTTTCAGACTTCGCCTGAATGATCTAGAAATTAACACAGGGAGATTTTCATCTATTGAGAAATCCCTAAGGTTATGCCCATTCTGTGACATTGTTGTCGAAGATGAATACCATTTTATGTTTATTTGTCCTATATACGAAAATCTGAGAAACAAGTACTTAACGCAGTGGTCTTTATCTCAATTTAATGCTATAAGATTGTCTTCATTACTGTCCTGCAAGAATCTTATAACATCAACTGGCTTTGTACATACATCATGCGTTTTTGTTACGAAGTGAACTGTTACCTTGACTTTGTGTCTTATAAAATAAACTGACGGCCAAAAGAAACGTTACCAACGAATTTCTAGGATAAAATATGACCAACACAATTTGAAGCAGCAATAACAATTATATTGTAGAAATTCATCATTCAGAACAGTAAAATGCGAATTTACTAACAACAACAACAACAAAGTCCTTGACCTCCAACAGTGACATTTCTTGACAAGGGGTCATTCGTCCAGTATTCGATCAACAGCATTGGTTACAACTTTAAGGTGACGACGGCCGAGACCGTTCAATACGGGATATGACCTCCATGAGCGGCAATGCATCTTCGAATGCGGCGTCGAACTTATTAGACAAGCGTCCTCACATCGACTGCAGGTATCCGGTTCCATTCCTCACGGAGGGCAACGACCAACGCTTGTCTCGTGAAGGGAGGATGTTGACGTTTCCGAAGACGACGCCCCAGCTGGTCCCAGAGGTGTTCTATGGGTGACAGACCTGGTGATCGAGCTGGCCACGACAGGACAGTCACGTTGTTGGCGTTTAGGAAGTCTCTAACAATACGGGCTTTCTGGGGTATGGCGTTATCTTGTTTGAACACCGTCCGTTGTTGACGCTGGGTGAAAGGAAGAACCACTGGCCGTAAGATATTGTCAATGTAGCGTTGTGCTGTCAGATTGCCTTCGATAATGACAAGTTCTGTCTTCTCGTCCCCGCAAATGCTGCCCCCGACCATCACACTTCCGCCCTCGTAAGGTTCCACCTCCTAGACACAACAAGGAACCGTACGTTCCCCACGTCGTCGATAAACTCGCGTCCGCCCATCAGGTTTGAAGAGTTGGAAGTGCTCTCGTCACTAAACAGCACTCGCCGCCATTCCCTTTGTTGCCATCGCTGAGTTTGCCCACGTCAATCTTGCACGTCGATGTTGACGGGTCAATGTCATGCCCTTGAAAGGGCGATAAGCCCGGAGACCATGTCGTAGTCGTCTGGCAGTAGTTAGGACACACCACAAAATAATAATTATCAGCAGAAGAAATACGTTTCTTCTGCTGACGTCACTTCCTGTTGGCGCATTTTTTCTATTTCTTTTGATTTTATAATGTATAGTTTATAGACTTTCTGGTGACGTTGTATTGCAGGAATAAAGGCTATAACTATTATTTTAGTTTTGTGGTGTGTTGATAACGTAGGTTTCAGTAAATCACTGTTTGTCTGCTGACCGGATGTCCTAAGCTGTTGGCAGCTGATGACGTCACAGTAAGAAATCTGTTCCTCAGATGAAGTACCCGTAAAAGGCGGTCATCCTGCGGGGTCGTGACCTTTGGTCTGCCACTCCGGGGTCTGTCTGCGGTTCTGGCAGTCTGTCTGAGACGTGCTACCAGTCTGGTAATGGTCATCTTGGAGCAGTTCATGTTAATGGCAACCGCTCTCGGTGTCGCTCCCATCTGCAGCATACCTATGGCTCTCTCCCTCTGGACAGCGGTCATTCTTGGCATGTTCGTTGGTGTTAATCATTGCAACCAATGATAGGGAACAGATCCGTGCTTAATTTAAACCCGGAAATTGCACGATAATTTGGGAAAGAATGTTTTAAAAAATTGCTGAAAAACAACAATATCTCCCAAAATCCGCAAAGCACGTGCAAAGAACGACAGAGAACATGAAGGCTGTATCCGTGAGATGTGTTCTTTACTGTTTTTGAAAAGGTTGGCATCTTTGTTTCAAAGTGGCAAATCAGTTAATGTTTGTAACGTTTCCTTAGGCCCTCAGTTTATGTTATGTAACCCCGTTGTATATGGGCCTGTGGCCTTTCATACAGTAAATAATTGAATTGAATTGAATAGTTAACACTGACGGAAACCTCCAAACCTTTACAAAACGTGTCGTGAGTATTGTCAGACGTCTGTGAAACACCCACATTGGTGTGACGTTCTCCAATTATGGGTGAATTATGAATCTTTGTTACAGAAAGTAGTTCGCTGGCCTAATTAGCATATATATATATATATATATATATATATACAACTTACAATATCCATGAGCTCATTTGGTGATATGGACGTAAAGCCTTTGTTGAGTTTCTTAAATCTCACTACAAACTTTGCCAACCAATATATAATGATACGATTCCTAGTAGTAATACGCATACACATTGATAGAAAACGATATTCAACAGCTTTACCTGTTGAGCAGGTATTACACACAGAGGACGAAGGTTTTCACTAGATGATGTGGTATATGTCCCTGCTACTTCAATCGGTCCCTGGTTGGAACATCAGCAGCAGGGCTACACCCCCAGCTCCCCATGAATTGTTTCCTGATCCGTATTACATTAGTCTGTCACGTGGATGTATACGTTGAATGATGGTTAAATGTCATGTCTTATGCAAACTGCGCTCAACAGTACATCAAAACAAGAGTCTATGTAAAATAATACAATCCTTGTCGACATTTAGGTTGCAGTCTTTACAACGCTAACTGTATATTACGCCCTATCCAGGAGCAATATAAAAGTGTCCATCTCGCCCTGGCTGAAGCATTCTCCATGGGGGATACAACACTGTCGTCCCAGAAGTTCCGAGAGAGAATAAGCCTCAGTAGGGTCTTCCAGATGGGAAACTGCTCAGAAGCGAAACTGCTCAGGGTAGGGAATGACATGAAATCTAGGTCACACTCAGTCCTATTGTACCGTTTCCTTCGTGTCCTATACTATTGCTGCACTTTGCTATATAAGTACTGTAAAGGTGAACGTAGCATTAAACCCCACTTTACCTCACCTCACTTCATTTCTTTTATGTATCGTGCTATAGTGCTACATTATTATTGATTCAACTTTTTACCTCACCTCACCTCACCCCACCCCACCTCACCTCACCTCAACCCCTCACCTCACCTCACCTCACCTCACCTCACCTCACCTCACCTCACCTCACCTCACATGTGTGGTCTTTGCGCCAATGCTGCAATATTACCGATGTAACATTTTAACTTTAAGAAACTTGCTATCTCTGTGTCCTTACCCGTTAAGATCCGTGGCAGAATAGGTCTTCAGCAACCCATGCTTGCCCAAAAAGGCGACTATGCTTGTCGTAAGAGGCGACTAACGGGATCGAGTTTTTACAGACCGTCGTCATATAGCTGGAATATTGCCGAGTGCGGCGTTAAACAACCAACCAACCAGACAACTCGGTATCCTACTCTGAGCAAATGTAAAGTGTCCTTGTGATGAAAGTGCTATCCAGCCAAACATTGCTAGTCTTGACCCTGTTAATCCTGAACCTTCCAGGATAATTACTGCTGGGAATGCTTACATGTGCACAGGGGACACGATACATTCCCATGATGGTTCTTTAAGCTTGATTCTCTTTACCTTCCTCATGCTTACTGTCGTTTATCCGGACATTACCTGATCCGGGCGATTTCACTAGATACACTACCGTCCGGATTAACGGGTCTCCCTGTAGTGTGACAACCGACTTTATCATGTCCCTGATCTTTTGACTGTCATTCCTCATATTTAAGGTTCTGAACAATGAACGGAAAGCACTAAGGAACACAGGTAACTTGCTTCTTCAACTTAACACCTGGTAACACCATTATCTGAAAAATAAACACATGTTTATAGTATAGTTGGGATCGGACATTGGACTCTGGTTACAGCAGATATTTCCCAGGAATATGGAAAATGTTTCGTCTCTTTTCTTTACAACAAAATGAAGATGAAATTATCAACTGTTATGAACTGTGTGATATTATCATGTACATGTTATTGTCTCATTACATGGGGATGTCAGGTAATAGCAGGATTAGTCGTGATTAAATTCCCAGATTTCGTAAAAGATTTATTCACCTGATGAACATTTCTTCTTGGATTATTACAATTTACAATGTATTCATTTATTGGTCAGAACTTAATCTAGCTAGTCAAACTACCAATCACAGATATATTTACTGTCATCAGGTAAAGCTGGTCAGCTGTGGGTAAATGGCAGACAGGACCACTATGCTGCACAAGTGTTGGTGAGTAAATGCCAGACAGGACCACTATGCTGTACAAGTGCTAGTGAGTAAATGCCGGACAGGACCACTATGCTGTACAAGTGCTGGTGAGTAAATGCCAGACAGGACCACTATGCTGTACAAGTGCTGGTGAGTAAATGCCAGACAGGACCACTATGCTGTACAAGTGCTGGTGAGTAAATGTCAGACAGGACCACTATGCTGTACAAGTGCTGGTGAGTAAATGCCAGACAGGACCACTATGCTGTACAAGTGCTGGTGAGTAAATGCCAGACAGGATCACTATGCTGTACAAGTGCTGGTGAGTAAATGCCAGACAGGACCACTATGCTGTACAAGTGTTGGTGAGTAAATGCCAGACAGGACCACTATGCTGTACAAGTGCTGGTGAGTAAATGCCAGGAAGGACCACTATGCTGTACAATTGTTGGTGAGTAAATGCCAGACAGGACCACTATGCTGTACAAGTGCTGGTGAGTAAATGGCAGACAGGACCACTATGCTATACAAGTGTTGGTGAGTAAATGTCAGACAGGACCACTATGCTGTACAAGTGTTTCTGAGTAAATGTCAGACAGGACCACTATGCTGTACAAGTGCTGGTGAGTAAATGGCAGACAGGACCACTTTGCTGTACAAGTGCTGGTGAGTAAATGGCAGACAGGACCACTTTGCTGCACAAGTGCTGGTGAGAAAATGTCAGACAGGACCGCTATGCTGTACAAGTGCTGGTGAGTAAATGCCAGACAGGACCACTATGCTGTACAAGTGCTGGTGAGTAAATGCCAGACCGGACCACTATGCTGTACAAATGCTGGTGAGTAGATGCCGGACAGGACCACTATGTTGTACAAGTGTTGGTGAGTAAATGCCAGACAGGACCACTATGCTGTACAAGTGCTGGTGAGTCTAAACGTGGCCATGCAATCGCAGTTGGTACAAGTTATCTCCCTTGAGCTACAACGTTCATTCAAAACACTCTTATGATTGGTGTTCTATATCAAACAGTTATTATTACTTCAAATTCGAACTTTCCGCAATGTACAATATTAACATTCATTTCTGTACCCACCATGTTCACGAAACATATAACATACGATATTATATCTTTATATGATGTTACAAGAGGCTAACAAAGTTAATCTTCCTCGAGCATAGACTCATCACTTTAAATCATGTGTGTCTGTTGTATAGCCAATAAAATGAATATGTTTACACATACCCGCGTTATAGGAAGCATACATGCTTGACAGCTGACAAAGGTTTACAGGGCGAGTTCCATGTGTGCCCAGATGCGTTTGTTGGTATTGTTAGTGGGACAAAATATAAAAGTGTTCCTCCCAAATGTTTGCTTGCAATCAAAAATGCATAAAAGCATGACTCCCTATTCACTTCTGAGCAAAATATGCCGAGAAACATTTAGCCTTTCTTGTCTTCTTCATTGTCTTCATTGTCTTCTCCGCAATGTTCAACACCCGATCCAGACACATCAGTCTAAGTTATAATACGAACGCTATTACCTTTTATACATGACACATGAAACAATTAAACAGATATAGCAGTGTTCTATATATGACAGTCCTACCTGTGTAAGCACGGCTACGTGTTGAGCGAGGTGCCCTCCTTGTCCAGCACCGAGGGATTCTGGAAGATGGTGGAGGACCAAGAATCGGATGTCGTCGTCTTCCTTCCGGAAGCCAGCAAGGTATTTACGTTTTAAAATCGTCAGTAATGGTACAGTATTTCAGTTGCATCAAGACGCGACAGCTTAATGTTGGACACAATAATGTCCGAGGAAAGTCAAAACCTTTGTTGAACACTCTAACATACATGTTGTGCACAACATGCTCAGGGCGAACGCGCAGTATGCAGGCCAAGGGACAACTCAGCCGGCCGTTTGAGACTAATGGACAGACCTTGACACCTAGCAGAACTCATTTCCGATTTTGATGGGGGTGGGTGGTGCGTGTGTGTGAAGCGGAGAGGAGGGTGGGGGGTGGGGGCTGGGGGGTCGGGGTGGTGGTGAGTACTATGAGTACAGATGTTCGCCGCGTTCAATAAGTTGAATTTTCCTCCAATATCCGAACAATGATGCTAAGATCAGTGTCGGATATCCATCCTTGGTCCTTTGTTCGGGCTAGACAATGGATAGGCGGGCAATTCGCCGGGGAAGAGATCACTTCCTGCATCCATGTGGAGAGTCACTGAAATGTCGGTTGTCTCTTGTTTGATGTTTCTAGTAAATAAGGTCGAATAAACAAATCGATCTCATAAGAATTATGCTATTATTCGAATGCTTACAGTATAACATTGTGTCTTCATCATGTCATCCTCGACAACCCAGTGTATAATAAGACATATCTATTCTACATGTATTATGATAAATAGCCTGGACCTATTCGTTGTCTTTAGCAACCAATGCTTGCCGTAAAAGGCAACTAGGCTTGTAAGAGGCGACTAACGGGATCGGGTGGTCAGGCTCGCTGACTTGGGTGATGCATGTTGATCCCAATTGCGTGAATCAATACTCATGATTTGAATCACTGGATTGTCTGGTCCAGATTCGATAATTTATAGACCGCCGTCATAAAACTGGAATATTGCTGAGTGCGGCGTTAAGCAACAAACAAACGAACATGGTAATAAAATAACACCACGCGCAAGAGTAGTGCTGTTCTGGGTTAGCGATTGGGAACATTGAGATGGGGATGTCAATTACGTAAGGATTATCATAATAGCATGTAGAAATAATACCCTGGACAGTCAAGGATCATATTGTTTCCGCCAGTATCTGCCCAGTGTGTGCCCAGAGAGGGGCGCTAATCACTGGAACTCAATAGCAGTCAGGAGCAGGAAGATGGTCCACATCAACAATGAGCTGGCGTGTCGGAACATACAGCTTAAAGCAAAGGTAAATCATCAATGCAGCGTTTACTGGATAAACATCCATAGGAAGTCCTCTCCCCAGCATTCTATGCTTATCATACGAGGCCACTAAATGGACTATGGGCAAGCATCACATAAAGAAAATGCATCGTTGTAAAACTTTCTAAAGAGAGATTCGTATTAAATGAATGTCATAATCAATAATATTTCAGTGTTCTTACGTACATGTGAGCGTGTCCGTTTAATGGAGGGGAAAGCCTGAAATGTACTTCGGCACATGGGAGCGTGTCAGCTTGATGTGGTGATGGTGGAGTATGGGGGTGTCGTTGTGGGGGTGGGGGAGGGAAAATGTACTTATGTACATGGGAGCGTGTCAGCTTGATTTCGGGTGGGGGTGGAGTATGGGAGGGGATATTGAGGGGGGTGTACTTATGTACATTGGAGCGTGGCCGCTTGATGTTGTGGGGGAGCTTTAAGTGATTATACACTTTGATGAAACCGACAAACCAAGGATCATAATCAGGGCGAACTAGAGATTGGACCACAAGATAAGAACATCCTGACAAGGCTCAAATACACCCCTGGTAAACGTTTAAGACCTACAACACTTCGGGCTTCCCACCCATATCAAGCTGATCATGACTCGCAGTGATATAACTGAAATACTGTTATACCAAACTCGTTCACTCACTCGCTCACTCACTCTCGCCTCAAAGAGCAACCCTGGTGTCAACATGAACGTCAACGTGTATTCCACATCGACGTCATCGCAACTGACATTGCAGGACTTTCCAGATGTCATCAATCATCTGGATCGACCAAGGAATTCTGAAGGAGACTCACGACCGATGACCGTAGTGTTCGGGTATAGTGCCTTTAAACAAATGTTCATTCTCAATTGTTTATTATCTACGTGGAATCAAATTGTTTGGGCAGTTTGTTGATCGGGGGTTTGAATCTCAGATTCGTGGTTTGTTTGCACCATGACAGTGCGCGTGGGTGGCACTACAATAGTCAATGCCTACGAGTTTCATCCAACAATAATTTATGTTCAATCGAATATATTTAATAAGTATAAGTATGGTTTCCGTCAAACATGTTCTTGACAGTCACTACAAGAATGTTCGCCCTTTCTCTAACTGTATGGAAAAAGTGATTACTCCGTTATATTAGGGTTGCACATGTATATCTTGTATCAATATTTGAATAGCGTCATCTGTTACTGGGAAATTAAATCTGTTAACGATCTCACATGTTCCAGGGATGTTATAAGTTGCAAATATCCGTAAAAAAAAGTCAGAGGCGAGGTGATATATTGTTGTAGAAGATTGGAGAGCGTACCCGACATGTTAAACCGATAAATGCACAATATCACACCCAGAACATATGCATGTCTCGGGAATGTTCCCGATTGTACATTGACAGACCAAAGGAGAAACAAGATGCAGTGATGTTCTGCGTCATCAGCAACATCCTTCAACGCTGTATCCATGACGATGAAGTTGAGATATTCAACAACACCAGGAGACTGTCATATTTGTTCACACACGATGTGACTAAGGTAAATTTATCTCCCCTCTATTCACGCTTGGGTTCGCTTGGCGCATTTGGAGAAGCATGTTGCTTGATGTCTTAATTCTGACTTTGTAATAAACTGTCAGCTAACGTACTCACTGATTATTTGCTAATACCGTGACATTACTGGTCAATTACGAATGACAATGTCATGCTTAAATAGGGAATCATAAATATGGATATGCATTAATTATTTCCGGGTTTGACTCTCGAACCCCAATCTGCTGATGAGGATCATCGGGTCACATCATACTAAGGTGGAGTTGTTGTCAACATTGGTTTTCTGGACGTCCTTTTGCGGCTTGAATAGTAGTGACCGCGGTTGAAACACTCAAACATAGATATCGTTTCACCATTTGTGCAAAATTATGACCAGTTTTTATTCGCTGTCTTGCTGCTGGGTTGAATTCAAATTGTAGTACGCCTTGCTGCTGTGAAGCCACAACGCAACCTGCGCTCTGACATGATCTTTCAAGGGAGAGAACCATGTTTACCGTACACGGACAACTTCCGCATGTGATTGTCGCAAATATCAGTATTGTTACCACCTCGTATAGTTGTCGTCATTTAGGCATGTGTTTCTGGTATCTATTTCTGTCAGCTCTGCTGTTTCAATGCTTTCAGAGTGACCTTGCATCTCTGTACAGAAGTGTCCCATATCAAGCTGACCTCGACAGGGGCTCGGTGTATGTCAACGTCAGCGATGTGTGACGTAGAATAAGGAAAAGGAAAACAGGATAAATAGCACGAACTCCTGGCTACGCGTACCATGTGCTGTGTGACGTGTGGTGTTGGATGCACTGATCGCTAGCCAGATGTTGGTGTTCCTGATATCCACCGTAACCAGCACACACTGTTTTTTTTGGTACAACCAGAGGACAAATGATTATTTGCCTTAAATATATATTTTTGTTCTGGAACAGACACCACCCTCCCACCACCACCACTACCACCACGCACACTGAATATCACACGATCTGTTCCAAAGATGCATAACCTGAGCAGATGCCGATGAGTGCGTGGGTATAGTTTTACGCCGCTTTTATCAATATTGATGCAAAATCGCAGCGTGGGACAACAGAACCACAGATTCTACCCATGTGGGGAATCGAAACAAGGTCTTCAGCGTCACGAACGAACGCGTTAACCACTGGGCCACACCACCGCCCCTAACGATGACATAAGGTATTTTCAGTGAGAAAGCATTTCGCTGCGGACCTGCCTAAATTTGAACTCCTACCCTGATTACTGATGCCTGAAGGATATGTCATTCTCTGCTTATCTTCATAAAAATCGAAATCCTGGGGAAATACGTTATGACGCCTGCCAACAGATTCATGTAACATCCTCTTTATGACTACAGTGAAATATATGCATTTGACAAACTCTGTGTACGTATCTATTATCTGTGCTATTGAAAAAAAAAAAAAGCCTTCTGGCCCAATGTCGCTATCTGTTTATACAGCAGTCACGTGATAACGAACACAGTGATATGTGTATTCTCGCTCTCGTTATGTGCTATGCTCTGTGATGATTCTTTATTATGTTATTATTTACACAATTGTTGGATGTTTTAATAAAGTTATTCAAACCATGGTATACGTTTATTTAAATACAAAACTTACAATCAAGTTTTTTTGAGTGATCAGCTGAAAAAATAAGCTTAGTGTATATTTAAGAAAAGTCAACCATCGCCAACAATGTAACAACACATGAAGCTTCCGCACGACACACAACTACATATACGGATTCTAATACACATGCTAATGTAAATAACGCGACAAAAAAAAACTCCCACATCCAATAGAAATATCTGCATAAAGCAGAGTCGATTGTACGATATCATGAGCATGTGTTTATGAATCACTATCAAAAAGTAATGATACCAGGTGTTCGCTAAAAAATATGTGGAAGGAAATAGGTTATTTGATTGTTATTGAACGATATCAGATCATCGATATGCCTGAAGCTTACGTTAAACTTAAATTAGAATTACCTTGTTTTGACTTTGCGAATCCGAACAGAAATTCCGATTCATTTGTATTAAAGAAATAGAATCAGCAAGAAGGGGAGTACAATTGGTGCCCATGGGGATAACCCTTCTTGCCTAAATGTCTTACACTTGTATTTTACGTAAATGTTATCAGTGAGGAAGCCCAGCACAGTCTCTGAACGTGTGCACAGCGAGTCTGTATCGCAGATATAATCCAACATGTGAATAGACATGTGGGATTATATCCTTATTCTGTACCACCCTATGATAAGTATACTCACACGCAAAAGAAATCCAAGGCGTGTATGGAGTATACATGTTATTCATTTAGAAATACTAAAAGGGCAAGATTGACTTGACTGAAGACAGTTTAATGGATAAAAAGGCAGCTGACATAATTGTTGTTTTTTTCAAATGTTAAGGGCTTACACAAATTCGGGTCAATACCAAAAATGTCAGTCAATACCTGGTGTGAACACTGCCTCACATCTCCTGTGCATTGAGTGGATCAGACGATTTGTGAAGGCCCTAGGGATCCTCCTGCACACATCCAGAGCAGCTGTGCGTAGTTCATCGGCAGTTGTAGGGACTGGGAGCATATTGTGCAGACCTCATCCCACAAGTGTTCGATGGGGTTTAGATCAGGGCTGAGGGCTGGCCACGGTGGAACACGGATGTTGTGTTGTTGCAGAAAGACCATGGTAGCTCTGGCAACATGGGGACGAGTGTTGTCCTGTTGGACAATGTTTTCTTGATGTTGTGCAAAACATGGAACAACGTGAGGTCTGATCACTTGGTCGATATACCACTGAGCAGTGACGCCGTGTCCCCGACCTTGACCAACATTCAACGTTTCTGTGCGGCGAAACGATCACCTCGACGCCACCAAATTCTGATTCTTCCGTCTGCATGGGAGACACAAAAGCGACTTTCATCAGAGAAGATGACACGACTTCACTCACGATGACGCCAATTGCGATGACCCTGTGCCCATTCAGTGGGTGAGTGAGTTAATATTTAAAGCCACATCGGCAAGATTTCAGCCATATCGTGACTAAAGCGATTAATACAATGTCATTAAGAATGTGCCCACTGAAGTCGTGCTTGTCGATGCCGTGGTTGGAGAACAGGACGACGTGCTGGTCGGCGACATCTGAGGTTGTTGGAAAGGAGACGTCGGATCACAGTGTCCCGGCTAATGTGTCGATTATGTGTTCCTGTCGAGCACATAACTGTCGAGCAGTTTCACTTGAAGTTAGGAACGGATGACGCTGGTGTTGACGGGTAATCTGCCGATCTTATCGAGGTCTGGTGACCCTAGGACGACCGCTCCGAGGAAGGTCATCTGTAGTCTGTGTAGCATTGTATCGATGCAGGAGACGGTAAATTGTGGTTATGTTAACGTTGAAATGACGGGCAACATCTTGGACAGACTCCAGCTTCCAAACGTCCGACAGCCTGGTTTCTCTGAATTTGAGTTAAGCGTGGCATTGTTTTTTGTTTGTTTGTTTTTTAAATCTTTATTCACATTGAATAAAGGCTTGGCATTGTTGACCAAGGAGTGGTAGGACCAAGAATCCGCCACAATTTTATACCCACTACAGTTTGTGCATATTCGATTTCGCGAGAAATGGATGCATTATACCAACATATTTATTGAAATGGTGCGTTTTGGCGATTCGTTTTTTATGTTGCGTTTTTACTTGGGGCTTCCAAAATGCAACAAAAATATTGATAACACCATCAGGCTTCACTACATGCTAACAGTCGCATCAATTTATGGTTCCGTGTTTGTGAGCTATTTGCTTAAAACCACTTGCGTTTCTTTTGCGTGTGAGTATAGATACCGGGTTAAGCCAGAAGAAAATATTTCAATTTGTTGCCCATAAGGAAGTTATGGCTGTTTCTGATTCCACATTTGGGAGACATTTTGTTTTATGTTTTATGATGTTGTAAGGGCAATATGCATAGATACACCTCGTTCATTGCTTGTTATGATGTCAGTCATTAGGCTGTCGAGCCTGGGGTCGATTATTTACAGACTGCCGTTATACATTTGACATATAATCTTGGTGCGGCGTCATCATACGCACACAAATACGTACACCGATATGTCGAACTGTTTTTCCTAAAATCAAAAAATCAAACTCGAATAAATCGAACTTTTCCCTGTTATTTCGAGTTCGACAACGGTATTCAGCTGTAATCGATTCAGCTGTTTTCCTTATAGCCTCTGTAGCTGCCAGTGTCACTACATATGTTACAGCTTCACCACTCTCAGCCAGTGTCAGTACATATGTTACAGACTCACCACTCTCAGACAGTGTCACTGCATATGTTACAGCTTCATCACTCTCAGACAGTGTCACTGCAAATGTTACAGCTTCACCACTCTCAGCCAGTGTCACTGCATATGTTACAGCTTCACCACTCTCAGCCAGTGTCACTGCATATGTTACAGCTTCACCGCTCTCAGCCAGTGTCACTGCATATGTTACCGCTTCACCACTCTCAGACAGTGTCACTGCATATGTTACAGCTTCACCACTCTCAGCCAGTGTCACTGCATATGTTACAGCTTCACCACTCTCAGCCAGTGTCACTACATATGTTACAGCTTCTCCACTCTCAGCCAGTGTCACTACATATGTTACAGACTCACCACTCTCAGCCAGTGTCACTACATATGTTACAGACGCACCACTCTCAGCCAGTGTCACTACATATGTTACAACTTCACCACCCTCAGCCAGTGTCACAGCATATGTTACAGCTTCACCACTCTCAGCCAGTGTTACTGCATATGTTACAGCTTCACCACTCTCAGCCAGTGTTACTGCATATGTTACAGCTTCACCACTCTCAGCCAGTGTCACTGCATATGTTACAGCTTCACCACTCTCAGCAAGTGTCACTGCATATGTTACAGCCAGTGTCACGCTCATTCTTACATGAACAGTGTTTTCATTTATTTACACATTGGCCATATTCAAATAGGATAACACATTGGCATTCACATTTATTTACACATTTGTAATTTTCACATCAGTTAACACAATCGTATTCGCATTTATTGACACAACGTTACAGTTCACAAGTATTTACATATACACACACATTCAGGATAATGTATCCGGACGTGGTGAGCACACAACGCTGTTCCGCAATGCATTCTATTCAGCTGGTGTGTGAATCGTAGTCCCCTCTCTGAAGCATACATCCCGTCTATTGATAAGTTTCAACGTTCATGTTTTCCTCGTGTTCTACTTCCTATTACATACAACTGATATGAATATCACACTAATGTGACACTTGCAGCCCTCCGTCATCCACCATGTCGGTTCTGCTTCACAGTGCCATGCTCCTATTCTTCTTGATAGCACTAGGACGTTGGCATACAACGGGTAAGATTTCCATTCGTACTAGTGTATCCCTGAGTGGTGTCCTCACTGGGCTCATATATGTATCATCGACATTTTGCCTTTTACGCCCAAGAGAATGATTATTCTTTGACTTGCACGGTGTGAGGTTAGTCATGTCGCTGATACTAGGAGGAAGACATGGCGTGTGCAGCAAACCTAGAGGTCGTGATTATGAATTCGAGGACATGGTACTGTGTATTTGGTTGGTTATGTTTACAAATTGATCAATACTGCAACAAAACCAGGATTGAGCCAGTGAATGATGAAGTAGTGACACATGTATTGATTATGAAAATGTATTACATAACAGCGAATGACGAGGTATGATAAACATATTGTTACACTGAATGTATGACATAACAGCAAATTGCGAAGTATGATAAACATATTGATACACTGAATGTATGACATAACAGCGAATGACGAGGTATGATAAACATATTGATACACTGAATGTATGACATAACAGCGAATGACAAGGGATGATAAACATATTGATACACTGAATGTATGACATAACAGCGAATGACGAGGTATGATAAACATATTGATACACTGAATGTATGACATAACAGCGAATGACAAGGGATGATAAACATATTGATACACTGAATGATTGACATAACAGCGAATGGCGAGGTATGATAAACATATTGATACACTGAATGTGTGACATAACAGCGAATGACGAGGTATGATAACCGAACTGATACATTGTATGTGTGACAAAAAAGCGAATGGCGAGGTATGATAAACATATTGATACACTGAATGATTGACAAAACAGCGAATGGCGAGGTGTGATAAACATATTGATACACTGAATGTGTGACAAAACAGCGAATGAAGAGGTATCATAAACATATTGGTGCACTAAATGATTGACATAACAGCGAATGACGAGGTATGATAAACATATTGATACACTGAATTTTTTCACATAGCAGCGAATGAAGAGGTATAATAACCGAACTGATACATTGTATGTGTGACAAAACAGCGAATGGCGAGGTATGATAAACATATTGATACACTGAATGTGTGACATAACAGCGAATGAAGAGGTATAATAACCGAACTGATACATTGTATGTGTGACAAAACAGCGAATGGCGAGGTATGATAAACATATTGATACACTGAATATGTGACAAAACAGCGAATGAAGAGGTATAATAACCGAACTGATACATTGTATGTGTGACAAAACAGCGAATGACGAGGTATCATAAACATATTGATACACTGAATGTGTGACATAACAGCGAATGACGAGGTATCATAAACATATTGATACACTGAATGTATGACATAACAGCGAATGAAGAGGTATAATAACCGAACTGATACATTGTATGTGTGACAAAACAGCGAATGGCGAGGTATGATAAACATATTGGTGCACTGAATAAATGACATAACAGCGAATGGCGAGGTATGATAAACATATTGATACACTGAATGTGTGACAAAACAGCGAATGAAGGGGTATAATAACCGAACTGATACATTGTATGTGTGACAAAACAGCGAATGACGAGGTATGACAAACATATTGATACACTGAATGTATGACATAACAGCGAATGACGAGGTATGACAAACATATTGATACACTGAATGTATGACATAACAGCGAATGACGAGGTATGATAAACATATTGATACTCTGAATGTATGACATAACAGCGAATGTCGAGGTATGATAAACATATTGATACCCTGAATGTTGACATAACAGCGAATGTCGAGGTATGATAAACATATTGATACACTGAATGATTGACAAAACAGCGAATGTCGAGGTATTATAAACATATTGATACCCTGAATGTTGACATAACAGCGAATGTCGAGGTATGATAAACATATTGATACACTGAATGATTGACAAAACAGCGAATGACGAGGTATGATAAACATATTGATACTCTGAATGTATGATGGTGAAATGGTGAATTATGACGCATTCATACAATGTGTGCTTGACATAACAACAAGTGACAAAAATATAATGAGGCCCATTTATCTGTAGCTAATACACTTACACGCACCAATCTATCACGCTATAAACGAGTCTCTCAGTTATCAATGGTATTACAATACCTTATACACAATACCTATGGTGATTGAATTTGACTCTGTAGCTCTTCGGGTCCTATTCTACTAAAAGACCTGCACACATATGAATTTTCCAAATTATTGAGTATAGAATAGTGACAACCACAACATATGTATCAATAAGGGTTTATGAGAAGTGAATGAATTCAACCGGCTTGAAACTGATATTCCCTCGTATTTATGAATAGTTAATTTGTGGTACATTTATAAAATGCATATCGTACAATGCAATCTGCAGGAGCAGTTTCCGCTAGCACCGGTGCAACACGTGTACTATGCCCTGGTCAGTTTGGACCGAGCTGTTCCCTGACCTGTGGTCATTGCATAGATGGCGAGCCCTGCCACCAGGACACCGGCGTCTGTTTGAGGGGTTGTCAGGACGGCTTCACTGGTCACAGCTGTAAAGAGACACTGGACTCTACCAGCCCATTCCAAGCGGGACTTGCTGGGGGTGTTGTCATGCTGGTGGTCGCTTTGGTCATCGCGGCGATCGTCATTGGTGCCCACTATCTGTGGAAGAAGCGACAAAGGTAACGCATATTCATCCTCTGAAAACATGGCCTATCTTGTATGAAAATAGTATTTTTAGTGAAACTACAACAGTAAATAGATAATGTCAATGCAAGGGCATAATCAGACTAGATTTCCACAGAAACAGTTTCCATTTGATGTGAAGGGCAAAATAGCTGTGACAAATGTATAAGCATATCATGCCCTAACTGTCGCCCGCCATTCACACAGCTTGCATACAAAAATAGGTATTTATTTCCTGGCTCAGAACAGTAGTAGTCTTGTATTCACCCACATCATGGTGGTTTGCAACAACTAGATTAAGAAACACTCACCTACTCCATAGCGGTCCGTCACAATCAGATTACGAAACACTCACCTACTCCATGGCGGTCCGTCACAACCAGATTAAGAAACGCTCACCTACTCCATGGCGGTCTGTCACAACCAGATTAAGAAAGACTCACCTATTCCATGGCGGGCCGTCACAACCAGATTAAGAAACGCTCACCTACTCCATGGCGGTCTGTCACAACCAGATTAAGAAACACTCACCTTCTCCATGGCGGTCCGTGACAATCAGATTAAGAAAAACTCACCTACTCCATGGCGGTCCGTCACAACCAGATTAAGAAACACTTAGCTACTCCATGGCGGTCCGTCACAATCAGATTAAGAAACACTCACCTACTTCATGGCGGTCCGTCACAACCAGATTACGAAACACTCACCAACTTCATGGCGGTCCGTGACAATCGGATTAAGAAACACTCACCTTCTCCATGGCGGTCCGTCACAACCAGGTTAAGAAACACTCACCTACTCCATAGCGGTCCGTCACATCCAGGTTAAGACACACTCACCTACTCCATGGCGGTCCGTCACAACCAGGTTAAGAAACACTCACCTACTCCATAGCGGTCCGTCACATCCAGGTTAAGAAACACTCACCTACTCCATGGCGGTCCGTCACAACCAGGTTAAGACACACTCACCTACTCCATGGCGGTCCGTCACAATCAGATTAAGAAACACTTACCTACTCCATGGCGGTCCGTCACAACCAGGTTAAGACACACTCACCTACTCCATGGCGGTCCGTCACAACCAGGCTAAGAAATACTCACCTACTCCATGGCGGTCCGTCACAACCAGATTAAGAAACACTCGCCTACTCCATAGCGGTCCGCCATAACCAGTTCAAGGCAAACTAATGACTAAAACCATAAGCAGCGTCCCACGCCATCGGGAAATACAGAATGAAAGTTTTATGTGGGTGCTTGGTGATTCACAGCTGTCTGGAAGCAAGCGAATCTAGACCAGGCAAACTGGTGCCTGTACGCATGGTACGATGACACTCAAGTCACACAACCAGACGACTTTATCCAATATAATAGCCGCTTTGAACCCGAGTCTCCATGGCACAAGGTTGCAATACATGACAGGAATACTTTGTAACATTATGATGCAGGAACATCGAACACGGGAACCTTGAATCAGGATCACTTCCGTCTAAGGAGCAAGTGGCACCGCGGATCTTGTCGCTGTACAGGAAAGGTAGCAACAACAGGAACACGTATGTTGACGAGGAGGTGACAAAAGGAACACGAGGACAAAAAAAGTAATTAATCAATATTTTGTCTGTGAGTGATTGTCATTTCAAACAAAAAACACATGTCTCAAAACATCCAGCATATCAAATGAACGATTTATCTATGTGTTTATTTTTTTATTTAAATAAAAGAATTAATCATGTTTATTTATTTATTTATTTATTTATTTGTGTTTGGGGGAGGTTGTAGTGGGAGGGGAGAGGGGGAAAGGAGGGGGTAGCAAAATCGGAGGACAAAATATATTCACTAGGCGAGATGATCATTACTCATTATTCATGTCAATAACCGTCAAGATCCGGGGTAGAATAGGTCTTCAGCAACCCCTTCTTGCCGTTAAAGGCGACTCACGGGATAAGGTGGTCAGGCTCGCTGACTTGTCTGATGCATGTCATCGTTTTCCAATTGCGTGGATCGATGCTCATGATGTCAATGACTGGCTTGTCTTGTCCAAACTCGAGTTTTTTACAGACCGCCGTCATATGGCTGGAACAAACCCCCCCAAAAAACCAAAGGAATGTACAATGATCCGTTGCCCGGGTAATATAAGGCACTTTGAGAGTGCCACTCCCTGATTAGAATTAATTCTGATATATAGAGAAACAACTGAAATGTTTATGTGCTTCCGTCATGCCTTTTCAAACAGTACGTGCTATTAAATTATTTATCAAATACATTCAGGACCGAGGCGAAGAGAGAATCAGCCATGTCGTCAACCCAGCCTAAGACTATCTCCCTCGCAGATCAACCTGGAACCACCAACGAGGACGATAGAGATGCAGCTAAAGTTTCAAGACAGGAAAAAGCTGCCCCAGACGTGGGCGATATGTATGAAGTCCCTGTCACGCCAGACTACCTCAACATTGACTTGAACATGCACCACGCCGAGGAGGGGAGCAAGGATGAAGAGTACCCGACTCAGGACACTGATTACGACGTACCTCCTCCTCCTCTGCCTACTGACCCCAACTACCTCCCTATGGGCCACACAGAAGATGACGCTGGCTCCATGAGTGATGATTCTTCCTATGAGATACCTGTTGTTTCTTCATAGATTGGGGGCGATATGAGAAACATGACAACAGAGACACTGTAATTCCTGTATGGAACTTTTGCTGTGGCCGATTGCACATCTGAGCAATGGATAATAATTTAATGTCGTCTCTGCAATAGTTTAGTCATATAGCGACTACAGAAATGTACTATATCATTCCACAATACGTCAAAGGACAGTAATATTACTGTTAGGATTTTCAATTTGAATATTATCCCTGGTTTAAATAGGATAGATCACTCGGGCCATCTCGTTATGTCGCTGAAATGGTACTTGGACTTCAGCTTATTATTTTAACAATATTAAACACCGAGTCAAAACTTGTACGGCAAATATGAAAAACATGTGTTTTTGTCATATCAGTAGCGAAAGTAATCATCATCAAAAGGCAGGATGAAAATAGTTCTCTGTTTTCGGGCGATTGTCATTGTTTTCGAGTACATAAGTAATGTATTACATGAGAAATTAAACTTACCGCAGCCTATGTAGTGGTTTACGTGCAGCCAATGTGTGTGAATCAGGAGATAATGTACTAAGATAGTTTCTTGTAGACAGAATATCAAAGTCGGTGCAGTAAGCGTCTGTATGTGCCCTGCATGTGCGTAGAGAGTTTCACATCCTCAGAATGGTTACAGTCGGTGCATTATGTGTCTGTATGTGCCCTGCATGTGCTCAGAGAGTTTCACATCCACTGAATGTCACAGTCGGTACAATATGTGTGTATGTGCCCCTGCATGTGCTCAGAGAGTTTCACATCCACTGAATGTCACAGTCTGTACAATATGTGTGTATGTGACCTGCATGTGCTCAGAGAATTTCACATCCACTATGTGTCTGTCTGTGCCTTGCATGTGCTTAGAGTACGTCCATGATCCCTGTTCTTGTTTTAAGTACGTACTTAACCCAGTGAATCCTAACACATTTTGTGTACTAATCACGATAGTTTGTTTCCAGTCGAGTAAAAAGCAGAACGTTATGTGTTGAAGTCTCGCTTACGTTTTCCCCAACAATATAAATATAATCCTACAATAAGATGTATTTCTGATATAAGTTGTTTGACGTTTGAGTTTAACTGAAGGTACGTTCAATTTTTTTTATGGGTAAATCCTCCAATAAGAAGTGTACGCTTTTGATCATGTTTGACTCTTTATCTGCATGACCGACGCGCGATAGCCGTATGTAAACTACTATTTATTAACATCGCAGCTTTAACTTTCGTTGTTTGCACAATACATATTCTGAACTTACGTGTGTTCCAAATACAAGATTGTGAGAGAGAGAGTTCTCGCTTGCCTACGTGTTTAGAAAGCCATGTTATATTATTTATAGTTCGCGCACAGCATGTACAGTTTTACATCCTTCTTTTCTGCCTCTCTTGTGCGTTCTGTAAGGTGCGGCCCTTAATCGCGCCAGAATCCTTTGATATTAGGTTCGAAATATAGATTCATTATTCAATGAAAATGTATTGAAAGCGGTGTTAAACACATCTCAGATAAGTGAATGCATGTTTTATGAGTGTACAGTGCGTGGATGTTGTGCGTGGAAAATTTTGAAAGGTTGGATTTAGGAAAAGGACATAGTCCGGGAGTTGAGCGAATGAATACGCCGGGCGTGTTCAATAAGCTGAGCACACTCTCGTCACAATGTATAGAAACATATTTGTAAATGAGCCCGCTTTAAATGTTTACACCATTTTGTATTTTTAAGCTCAATTGTGTGAATGTTGAATATATATATATGATATATATAATTGCCAGCAGCCTAGTGTCATATATTTCCCATAAATATTACCGGTTACCTTATTTTCCTGACATGTTTTATGTATGTCATTTTAGAGTTCGTATTATAAATCATTTTTATTTGTTCATGTTGAAAGTTTGCACACACGGCTATGAATATCGAGACAATATTTACCCGTTGAACGTTTTTATTGAATTTTGGGCTAACCTACTGATTTAGCTTTGCAGCATTTAAAATGTAGACTGGAGCTTAAGTGCATATTAAAACAACATTAATCCTCACTCGTTTTCTGACACTTATTCCTATGAGACTGTATTTTGTATTTCTAATTTACACCATCTAATACATGCGATGCGCATTTCTTGTGTATTCATATTGTTTGCTTCTTCTTTTAAATGTTAACAGGACTGTTGCAATTGTGAGATCATGTTGTGTATTTATTTGGTCAAGCATCATGCAGCAATAAGCAAATGAATTACTGGCGACATCAGTGACATTTATTGCTCGTTCACAGGTATGAGATACCACACACAGCTGTTGACCTCATACTACACGTTCAATGTTCCATGGACACCTGCAGATGATAATCACATGTACATGACGTGTCAAATCGCATTCATATGATGGGCTTCAAACATTGTAGGTTGTGTCAAGCTCGCTGACCGCGCTTCATATAGTTCCATTGCATAGAGGGATCCAGATGTTATAGTATTATTCATCTCACTTTTGCATGTAATGTCGTTTAGTGTATTCTACTATTGACGACAGCAGAGAAATCAGAATCAAAATAATTGATGATATTGTTCAAAATGAAACCATCCTGGTGTGTATGAGGTGACGCTGTTTGAGTGTCTTGTACCAATACCGTGTGGACAGGATTTCGAGATCAAACTGGTATCATCACCATCGGATGGTGCTTCATAGACACATGCTCATGATATAGTCGGAATCGTATAATCGACTCTGCTTTTCTTATGAATATAGAAAGGGTTTTCTCACTTTTATTTAACCAGCTCTCAAGGCGTGAAACAAGATAATGTGTACATGAAACATAACGGGCATGCTCAAGTGTAGACATAATAATAATTATGGTTAAATACTTCTTGAGGTACAGTTTCGTGCAGATCCTGCCACCAGTTTGATTACACACGGACAAATAAAGATAATGTCACCAACACCCAGCACGCAGAGGGTCATAAATCTGTCACCAACACCCAGCACACAGAGGGGCATAGATCTGTCACCAACACCCAGCACACAGGGGGTCATAAATCTGTCACCCACACCCAGCACACAGGGGGTCATAGATCTGTCACCAACACCCAGCACACAGAGGGTCATAGATCTGTCACCCACACCCAGCACACAGGGGGTCATAAATCTGTCACCCACACCCAGCACACAGAGGGTCATAGATATGTCACCAACATCCAGCACACAGAGGGTCATAGATCTGTCACCCACACCCAGCACACAGAGGGTCATAGATCTGTTATCAACACCCAGCACACAGAGGGTCATAGATCTGTCACCCAAACCCAGCACACAGAGGGTCATAGATCTGTCACCCACACCAAGCACACAGAGGGTCATATATTTGTCACCAACACCCAGCACACAGGGGGTCATAAATCTGTCACCCACACCCAGCACACAGAGGGTCATAGATCTGTCACCCACACCCAACACACAGAGGGTCATAGATGTGTCACCCACACCCAGCACACAGAGGGTCATAGATCTGTCACCAACACCCAGCACACAGAGGGTCATAGATCTGTCACCCACACCCAGCACACAGGGGGTCATAAATCTGTCACCCACACCCAGCACACAGGGGGTCGTATATCTGTCACCAACACCCAGCACACAGAGGGTCATAGATCTGCCACCCACACCCAGCACACAGAGGGTCATAGATCTGTTATCAACACCCAACACACAGAGGGTCATAGATCTGTCACCCACACCAAGCACACAGAGGGTCATATATTTGTCACCAACACCCAGCACACAGGGGGTCATAGATCTGTCACCCACACCCAGCACACAGAGGGTCATAGATCTGTCACCCACACCCAACACACAGAGGGTCATAGATGTGTCACCCACACCCAGCACACAGAGGGTCATAGATCTGTCACCAACACCCAGCACACAGAGGGTCATAGATCTGTCACCAACACCCAGCACACAGAGGGTCATAGATCTGTCACCCACACCCAGCACACAGGGGGTCATAAATCTGTCACCCACACCCAGCACACAGGGGGTCATAGATCTGTCACCAACACCCAGCACACAGAGGGTCATAGATCTGTCACCCACACCCAGCACACAGAGGGTCATAGATCTGTTATCAACACCCAGCACACAGAGGGTCATAGATCTGTCACCCACACCCAGCACACAGATGGTCATAGATCTGTCACCCACACCAAGCACACAGAGGGTCATATATTTGTCACCAACACCCAGCACATAGGGGGTCAAAGATCTGTCACCCACACCCAGCACACAGAGGGTCATAGATCTGTCACCCACACCCAACACACAGAGGGTCATAGATATGTCACCCACACCCAGCACACAGAGGGTCATATATCTGTCACCAACACCCAGCACACAGAGGGTCATAGATCTGTCACCCACACCCAGCACACAGGGGGTCATAAATCTGTCACCCACACCCAGCACACAGGGGGTCATAGATCTGTCACCAACACCCAGCACACAGAGGGTCATAGATCTGTTATCAACACCCAGCACACAGAGGGTCATAGATCTGTCACCCACACCCAGCACACAGAGGGTCATAGATCTGTTATCAACACCCAGCACACAGAGGGTCATAGATCTGTCACCCACACCCAGCACACAGATGGTCATAGATCTGTCACCCACACCAAGCACACAGAGGGTCATATATTTGTCACCAACACCCAGCACATAGGGGGTCATAGATCTGTCACCCACACCCAGCACACAGAGGGTCATAGATCTGTCACCCACACCCAACACACAGATGGTCATAGATGTGTCACCCACACCCAGCACACAGAGGGTCATAGATCTGTCACCAACACCCAGCACACAGGGGGTCATAGATCTGTCACCCACACCCAGCACACAGAGGGTCATAGATCTGTCACCCACACCCAACACACAGAGGGTCATAGATCTGTCACCCACACTCAGCACACAGAGTGTCATAGATCTGTCACCCACACCCAGCACACAGAGGGTCATAGATCTGTCACTCACACCCAGCACACAGGGGGTCATAGATCTGTCACCCACACCCAGCGGGTCATTGATCTGTGACCCACACCAAGCACACAGGGGGTCATAGATCTGTCACCCACACCCAGCACACAGGGGGTCATATATCTGTCACCCGCACCCAGCACGCAGAGGGTCATAGATCTGTCACACACACCCAACACACAGAGGGTCATAGATCTGTCACACACACCCAACACACAGGGGGTCATAGATCTGTCACACACACCTAGCACGCAGAGGGTCATAAAGGTTAAAGTAGGTTATGTATTAGGGAGGAAAGGGGTACAAACCTACAACTATTAAACACAGCCGACGATATATGGTTCTGTAAGCAATAGATCATAAGCGACTTTCTTGTCGTTCTTGAATATGCTCTAAATCTTGGTTCAGATAAAGTAAATTATATATGATCACAATTCATCTATCCATGTCATGTGGTGAGATTGGCATGGCTGAATTAGTATGTGAATGACTTCAGACACCGTACTTCAGGGAGGATGCATCCAAAACGGTCTGTTGATCTGCACACCTGTGAAGATATGTTAGTGAGATCAGCATTTCATATCTGATTCCTATACTATTTTAAGATCAATGGCTAGAAGTATCGTGCAATCGAGATTCTTGAAGGTTCCCAATCTGTCAGTGCAGTATTGATGCAACACACTGGGCTGTCCATCACATGTTGGCGTAGATGTTCTGGGACTCGATGTAAGCCGAGGCCATGTCGTAACACAGGGAAACGTCAGCCTGGAAGACAGAAGGCGATTCACGTTTGCGGTAAGTGTTGTATAACTGTGATAATTACACAGGTGGGGAGGAGAACTATCGAACACCTATCAAAAGCACGTTCATTCTGCACTTATTGACCTGCTGTACATACAGCTTTAAATAATGTACATGATTACAAAAAAAAACCTGCATGCTTTGAAATATTAAAAGATTTGACAAGAGCGTATACACACATGTAGAGATGCCTTCCTATCAGCGTATGTATGTTAGGAAGTTAATTAAATATAATTAATGAAATAGTTTTGATGCCAGGTGGTCGAGAAAAGTTAAGCGTATCCTGCCCCATCTCATCGCAAAGTTATTTAGATGTAGGCTCAGGTCGTATTGACGTAACATCTTAATACGTACATCCTGGTGGTAAATATTCACATACACATACGATGGCTGTGACAGTGGATGAATTGTAGCAGTATCGCCACTACCTGTGTGATGTCCTGGTCCAGACAGTGGGCCACAGCTCTCATGTTGTTGTAGATCTCAACTCGTTTGTCATGCTTCAAACCGAGGACAATATTGTTCAGGATACACAGCATGGCTCCATTCTGTCTGCTGCCATCGCTGTAACACAAACAGGTGGTGATAGGGTTATATGTCATTCGAAGCAACTGTATAAGAATGTCTAAATCATGTTAACGTCAAAGTTAGAATTGTTTACCTACATCACAGTGATTTGTCAATATGCGTGTTTAACCCAGCCATATTGTATGGTTTTGTCGCACGATCCACGACGATTGGGAATGAAGACCACTTGATCCTTGTTTCAGCTGGAGTTTTAACGATTAGGGATGTATGTTTGCATCAGTATTCCACACACGGTTCATTGTAGGAATAATATTATGTAGTTAAGGGATACCAACAATCAAATCACCCGTTCATGAATTACAACTACTGTGTAAAACCAAACATTATATGTATGCTTCCTTGTGTTGATCAGAAACTGCACCACAGTATAAATTAGTGTGAATTCAAAAAAGCCTTTTGTCGATAGACAGAACACTAAAAAAACTACTGTTCAACATCCTAATTCAAAAGGTAATATGTCTCTCATGCTGGCCAAGTGTGCTAATTTGCTATTTAAAAAAATTACATAATTCAGCGGTAACATATAATTTCTTTTTAATATTAAGAATATCCCTATAACTCTCCCTTGACAATGATGTCTGTCAGATTTGCCATTCATAACACGGACGTTGCTGTTTGAGATCCCATGCTAGACCTGAGTCCTTGCTTCATGGACGTCCCTTACCTGTATAAGACAGTAACTGTGTTCGGGTTGACATCTGTGTGGCGGTCGACTTGTTCCAGCAGCTCTAAGAAAGTGGAAGGGGATTCCTGGGGTAGGATGTTCAAGACATACACACGCACAAGTGTTGTTGGGGAATTCTGTTGAGCAAATTACAATCGTAAGTGATAAGTGTAATAATCTTTAGCTTACATTAGGTCGATGTGTGTTTCATCACAAAAAATCATCATCTATAATCTTTGGATAGATTTTTTTTGTTATACATGAAGGATATTGAGCTCATCTTCGCAAACACAAATGGCGCAGACACGAGTGATAATGTGGTGACCTGAGCAAACTCGGACAATTCTATGGGATAAACATTCTTATGTCACAATACAGCCCATTAGTCTACTTGTCGGGATTATGCTTATCTTAGCCTCTGAGAACCATATTGTCATTTGGCACACTAAATTATGTTTCCTGGATAATAGAGATGTTACATAATAATAGTTTTAAGGGGACACGGGTGGCCTAGTCGCCTAAGGCGCCGCAATTCGCTGTGTGGAGTTGCGTCCATTAGGCCCACCAGAAACCTACGATTGTGGGTTTGTATCCCGGCTCGCCACGATTATGTTTCTAGTTTTGTCAGCACCATGCTTGTGCTCGTGGGTTTCACCAAAGTAGTATACGTCTAAGACCTGCATCACTTCGGGCTTTCCTCCCACATTGAGCTGACACGCTGTGATATATCTGGGATACTGTTAAAAGCGGCGTTAAACCCAACTCATTCACTCATCACTAAATGAACAATAACAATTGAGGACCAATTGTTCTAATCATTGTGAGTTTTCTGCCTGATCTTACTGTGAATTCGGATGCCATGGTAACAATATTGTGAGATAAAGACAGCTAAACAATGGATAAATAATCACATTCATAATATTTCATCGCAAATTATGTAGTAACTTGCTACGTGGACACTTTCCCCATTTGGATGTGTTCCTGGAGCATTGTGAGCTTACCTCCATCTCTCTGTGGATGTTCAAGAGGGTGATGTCAGAGTTGATGGGGACCTCTGTGGAGCATCTGACAGTCACAGGATCCAGATCAAGGCTGTCTCCTGTCGATGGCACAAAACTGGACAGGCTCTGACCAAAATGAGTTAAATTTGAAAATCTAGTAACGATGGAATTGGAGTATGTACACAGATGGGTGTCACTATTAACATGACCTACCTGGTGTGAGTCTGGCAGGACAATGACAGTGGAAGACTCCTGTTCCTCGGTGAGTTTCCAGAACAGAGAAGCCGTGGTGACGGAAGGGGCCTCAGTTAGCAGGTAGCCCTTCACTGACAGGTGGGACTGTAGGTGCATAATGAGGATAAATATACCATGCTGTGTGAAAGGGATTGTACTGCAGGATGAAGTGACTAATGAACTAAGACAAATACAAGGGGCATGAACGGCATTACATGTATGTTTTGAACACTGTCATTTATTGGAGTGTGTAATATACCCAGATACATTGTTCTGTACAGGTATGGTCTCGGTGCATTTACAAACAAACAAATACGATACCCGCGAACTGACAGCCAGGATGTCTGTGCGTCCATTTATCCACACACGACCTTTGACACTGGTTCCTGAAACAGCAGTTTCATTATGGTTCTTTCCATGCCTGATTGCATTAATACTTCAGCAAGTTAATTGGATGTAATTGAATTATTTAACATTGATAATAACACTTGTTTGAAAGTTTGAACATTTTACATGAGGTAAGCTTATTAACTTCTCAGATATGATTTCTCTCAGAATAGAAAACAAGTCAGTGGTGATATACATGGTCTCGTATCATTCAGCATCCTAAAAATAAGTGAAGAACTCCTAAAACATCAGCAATTCAGCATCCACATTTGGGAAACACACAACTGCAATCAGCTGACAATATCAGCTTGTTGGGGGATAATTTCTTAAATGCAACTGTTAAGTAAGCAATCAGTGACCAGGGTATTAATATCTTCTGTGCGAGATGATACACAATGCTGTCTGGTGGTATCAGTTCAGACCACCATGCTGTTTATACCAATGTCAAAACATCAGCAAGTCAGCATTTTCATTTAAGAAACCACAACTGAGCAACACTATCTGCTGAGGTCCTATTAATCGGCCAGACTGTTCACACTCACCCTGGGACTGTTCCTTCCTTTGTGTGTTCAGGGCCTACAACAGTTCGAACATTTCTTTTCACGTTTTGTATGTGGTAATGCAGGTATCATTATTACTTCAATATGCACAAATGCAGTCAATAATACATGATCGAAGTTGTATTGTGATAAAACAGCTACCTCTATGAACTTGGCGATTGGCATTCGTCCTGTGCTGAACGTCCCTTTCATATTTCGGCTGTTTCTGAATTCCTCAACGCTGATGGAAGTATTACCAAATACGAGTGTTTCATACAGGGCCATATAAACACACGTGTACTGCTCCTAGTGCAATAAATCATTCATTAGTTGGACATATGAATGAAATTAAACACATGTGTACGACTCCTGGCGTAATACCACATTTAGTAGTTCAACATGATTATTACACTATGAAATTATGTGCATTGCTTCTAATGCAATACAAGAATCAGTGGTTGTACATGGTTTGACATTGAGGTGACGCCAAGTTCCTAATATATAATAACACAATTTATTACTTTGGCCTCACAAGATAAACATGAATGTATATCTCTGTCTTAGAATATATGGCATTCTATTAAAGTAGAAGACTCCTTTTCAGTAACCCCTATATGGCCTTCTGCACCTGGTATAATCTCTTAGGATATATACGCCAGTCTGATTATCTCGTGTTGATGTCACATGAGAATAACATATTACAACAACATGGCTGTTGATTTGTAATAGTTGATTTGTATACTAGTTGCATTGTTAAATTCGTCAATGCTAAGCAAATAGTTATAGACAAGTATATATCGTGCAAGATGCCATGCTCCAGATACATTATAGAATATCTATGAACAGCACTGAAAACACCCGTCATTGCAATGTGTTGCACTGTTGTTAATAATGGTGTCGCACCTCGGTCTGTATCATGCCCTTCCTCTGGTCTCTCATCCTCGAGACACAACCAAACACATCCACCCTATCTTCAGCCAGAGCCTGGTCCAGCAGGTAGTCCACGGCGATGTATGTCCCTGTCCGACCAATCCCAGCACTAGGGATAGATTCAATATCATGTGTACTTATTCGCATATCATTACCCGTAACACTTTAAAATATGAAACTTGTTGTTATGTCATGGTGTTTACAAACATGTGCGTGCACTGTCTGGCAATAATATCCGTGCATCTACAATTTAATTAGTGTATTATAATTTTCCTCAAGATTCTGCCATGTTATCATGGTCAATCTAAAGATATTTTAATCTGAAAATTCTCACGGCAGTAGCGTCCTGAAGGGCCTGTGTCATGTTGTTGATAATTTTCCATCAGATATTTTACACAGCACTTACCATTTAATACCAAGATTATTGCACTTATATAGCGCGGTGCATGTATGTGTTTGGCTGCTTGTACTAGTCCGGACTGATGCCGATTTATAGTGCTAGCTCACTGAGATACCATGCCGCAGTTTAACATGAATACCACACTTAGACACAGTATGCTGACTCCGAGCCGACCAGTCATTGTTTTAGCCCCTTAATGCCGAGCGCCAGACAGGCGTACCAAGTACCATCTTTTAACGTCTTTGGTATGACGCGGCCGGGGATCAAACCCCGGATCTTCCGCTCTCCGGGCGGACGCTCTACCACTAGACTACAGAGGCGGTCCTCTTACCATTGGAACGTGTGAAACTACACAGGCCCTTTTCCTGTATATATGATTTGATGAGGCAATCTCCCTCACCTGCAGTGTACCAGTAGAGGGTCATCCTGGGTGTTGTATGACGTCCTGACCAGCCACAGAAACTCAGTGAAGGCCGTCTCCTCGGGGGTTCCATGATCCGGCCATGTTGTGAAGTGGAAATGATGAAAACGCCGTGTTGTGTTTGCCTGAAGACATGTTAAAGAAAATCATCTTTGGTGAGGATTGTGATTTTCTTAAGTCAAAACAATGGTCCTGTTACTACGCACAAAATGGAGATGAGTTGATGAAGCATGATAATTTGATAAATTTATGTTTGCAGCTAAACGTTTTTACTAATACCATCTGAATCTTTTTTCAGATGAGCGATGCCTTACCTTTTTCTCTGTTACCACTAGTTCCCTGACGGCCCAGTGAGCCCGAATTCTGGAGTCGGTCACAGATATGACGAAGTCTCCTATACGCATGTCTGATATGTCGGACCAGTACGCATCGCACTTCAGCTACAATTAACAAACTAAAACATTATGTTGTCTGTGGTTGGAGTCTTGACAGACTGCAGGGATCTTAACATCACATACAAAGTATGGACGCTATATTCAACAGTTAGAAAATCCAAAGCACGATCTTGAAACGTTCTCACTGTCCATGAGAGAAAAACAACTTTCAACAAAAAAGATGCTGTGTTATCCATCTGGCACTTACAACGAGTTAAATTGTGTCAAATGGACTAACTAGAAGATACGTTTGTTCAACTCTCGGTCACAAAGAATAAAGAATCATTTAGCAGAGGTTAGAGAATAATGTCAAGCCAACAAATCCAGTTACAATACCACGATGATCATGTTTTTTATGGCGCTTGTAGTTTTGCCTAATCCATCCTTCAATAGTAAATGGTGGTTCCCTGAAACGTACCCTTCCCAATTCCATCAGATTTGTCAGCATGACGATTCGTGTACAGTTCTGTTCCCAGATCATTCTCCAGAAGTCGGTCAGTGTCTTCGCGTTAGGAGCTGTACGTGATATATATACTTCGTTTGAAGGGAATACATGGGTTCCAAAACGCAGTAAGTTAGAACCCGTTTCACAGCAAACATTTGAAATCAAATTCACATTGATCAATCTCCCTCGTGGCTGAGGAAAAAAATGCTTGTTCAACTCATTTTCGCATCTCATGCATGTGGTTTATATTCAGGTTGGATCCATATATTGTTTTATACATCCAACTGCTTGTCGTGGGCATCTTCTCCCAGTCGAAACGTATCCGACAGCTTATTATAACCTTTTACATAAGAACCAAGATGGACCACTACACGTGCGTAAGTACAAGGATAGACCACTACACGTGTGTAAGTACCAGGATAGACCACTACACGAGTGTAAGTATAAATAACTGTACCTTGTGCTGCTATGTAGGCTTTGGGTTGAGAATGCCCCTAGTAAAAATATATAAGATGTTAAAGTGTGTCACATATCTCCTTGTTTTTGTCATAACATTACCTGAAAATAGAAATAATAATAATTTAATAAGTCAACAAACTCTTTCTTTAAGGAAACATGATATCCTACTGACATCGATGTAGCTTGCGTTGATGTAGTCGGAACCAGGCTGGTCTGGCACCTCCTTCAACACGACCCGAGTGGCATCATCTGTAATTTAGAGGGACTTATAGGAATATATAAGAGTTGTGCATATCATATTACTTCCAAATTGATTGAGAGAGCTTACCATATATTGCTGATATGTTATGATGGGGGGTTCATTTTGGAGAGCTCAACACCCAGCTATAGGTGACTCTGCTGCCTGGATTACATACCTTAATGCATGTACAATGTACATTTGAACACATGTATGAGAATGTGTTCAGATTCAGAGAGGCTGCCTCTTGTATGTTGAGTCATAATAAACTGACATTTAAGTAACAGTGGAATCCTAAAGACACTTTGAGAATGTGTACTCTAAGTACCATCTATTGTATATAAGCCATGTTGAAGTACAATGGATCCCAAGTTACACTACTTGAGGCGACCCGTTAAGATTTGGGGTAGAATAGGTCTTCAACAACCGATGCTAGCTGTAAAAGGTGACTATGCCTGTCGTAAGATGCGACTAACGTGATTGGGTGGTCAAACTCGCTAACTTGGTTGATGCATGTCATCGATCCCAACTGGGTGGATCGATGCTCATGATATTAATCACTGGACTGTCTGGTCTAGACTCGATTATTTACAGACCGCGGTCATATAGCTGGAATACTGCTGAGTGCTGCGATTAACAACAAACCAACCAACAACTTAAAGTTTAATGCTGTAGTATTCATATGCAAAGTTAATTGAAGTGACAAACATTCACGAACACTGAAACCTGGAAGACTAGAAGTACATGTTTTGAAAACTTAGGAAACTTGAGACAGGCATAACACCTTGCAATGCATAAAACTTCACTCGGTTCGTAGAATAGGCACAAGCATAAGTTGTGAAATATCTACAAAGCACACATAAACTTACATAGGGTGACAACTAACCTTATTGATTATATGAATAACACATGCTATTAGCATAAAGGACTGACAGTGAGTCATAACCCTGCATCTTATGTGCTATTTGCCTCCTTGTTGATTTGATACACATGCTCAAATTAAGACAGCTATGACATATATCACAACTGCAATTGAAATAAAATGAAAAAAACGCTACTGACATTCATGCACAGATAGATACAAAACCATTATCATTATGAAGCGCTTAGTTCTTATATTGCCCATACTATATGTTTGAGCATTAAAATACTCACAGGGGTAATAACTTCGGTACTTGTTTTTGCCCTTGTTTTTCTCCAGCTGGGAGATGCTGTAAGATCTGGTGAAGGTGGAGGGCAGCTTCTGTGGTAAATGAAATAAAGGAACAACTTATGTTAAACTTGACATCTATGAAGCATGGATGATAATCAATTGAGGATCAGATATAAACACAAGTACATGTCCATAATATGACGCGGGTCTTTACATCAACATTGACAAATCACCCAGCTGATGAAACTTGCATATATTCAAACACTAGAAAGCATACGAAAACTGACTGCGGTCGTTAAAATATATCTCATTGTGACAAATGACAATTGAAATATTACAAACTTTAGTATTGATATCTGGGAATTTAAGACGACCGGTTATCAGTTGATATGTAAGTCTTAGATCTGTATACAGATGATTGGTTATTGAAAATCGGTAATAGGCAGTTATACAAGGCATATTATGTTCATGAACGCATTCTTTGACTTTCATCCAGCTGACCTGAAACTCGACCTGGAATCCCCCGACGGGCACCTGCAGCTCCTTGATCCGCTCCCCCAACTGATCTACAGACACCACCGTCAATGCAGGAGCACTCGCTATGTTGTAGTACGTGGCACCGTGGTCCTCCTCTAGGACACGTACAGGGTTGTCTACTCCCGTCTCGTGTGCATCCTCTGTTGCATACATGAAAGTAATACGTGCTGAGCTCCAGCTCTTTCTACTCAGATGTAATGAACGTCATATGACTTTTCATCAAAAGTTGTTTGATCAAGGTTACGCATTTCAAAATTTGAAAAAAAAGGCCGGCCTTTTAGGGTTAACTTTTTCCATTTCATCATGGTACCCAATCGCTGCTGGGTGAACCGATGCATACATCAGACACTTGCCTGAAGTGACGCAAACTTGATCACGTGTTTTAGTGTTAAGCACAGCTTAAGCCCCAGAAATCTCATGAGACACACTTCTCGAACCCGGCCACCCATCGACAGGTATTACATGTATAAGATACATTTCCGAAACTGACCTTCCTTCATCTTGACCATACTGGTGTCGTTTTCAGATTTCTGATGATTACCTCTTCTCCTTCTGGACAAACAGATTATGCTCAATATTACTACATCATATCCATTTTACAATTTAGAACAAATTAGTACAATTTTCCCTGTTGCTCTTGATCTATGGCATATGATACTTGTTTGATATAGATTGTTATTTATTAATGTTTAAACTTTTACAGTTTGCAGGGACATCGGATGCTGAACGTTGTTACTTATGGCAAGGTTGGTGGGATGATCACCTGCCATTGTTGCTTCATTCAGTGCTGACAATGAGCTGCGTGACTGTATTGGAATTTGTGTATTAACGACATATATCAATAATGATACACTGCCACAAGTTACACATCCAACTGATAAATGAGATTGAACTAAGAAGAATATAAATATTGTTTGGTGATATCAGTCGGGTGTGTTGATGTACATTCTGTGGGCATCACCTGACGAAGACCACAGCCACAATTACGACGACTACTGCAATGATGATGGCAACTAGAGATCCTGCTATGACACCTGCATCCGTCGGCGGTGCTTCTACAGGCTCTACAACGGATGGTGACAGTAATCGTTAATGTTACTTCTGATAATAGAAATCTCTTTCCCAAAACAACAAAACGGTATTATTTGTAACGCTTCAACGAAATTTCCCAAAATGAATCTAAGCAAAATATGAATACATCACAGCTTTGCGTCATCGATCAGTAACTTGTGTATTGTCGTGAGTATACATGTATTTGAAAGTCATGTCAAAAGAGTACTATCACACAACATACACAGATTCACCTTGCACGATGCACATGTCTCCTGTGTATCCCTCCCGACATCCTCCAGGACACGCCCCGTTAGTCTTGTTACACACGACATCACCCAAGCAGTGTCCACAGCCCTCGCCACATCCAGCACCGTGCTCTCCGTCTTGACACTCTGGCCACAGAAGACACCAAGATTATTGTATTTGTTGTTGAATTGCTACAGTATTTATGCGAAAAGGCTAACTATATAAGATTTCTTTGACAACAGCAGGAAAGCTACCTCCTTGATTTGGGGTCTATTGTTTCCAATGTAAACTCTCTTGAAACGTATCTGGCTATGCAGACTGGCACTCCATAAACATTAGGCTGAAACATGAAGTCTGCTGGTGGCTTGTTATTAACCAAATGCTGCAGCAATGTTTTCTTCTGAACATAAGCAATATTCCATGTGATCGACTACCAAAACACACATTAGCCAATATTAATCATCTGGTTTAAATTGGGAATTTCCGTAGAACTTTAAACCTATATATCAACAGTGCAGAACATCAACCAAATGTTATGAACTGTTCCCAGTATAACACTACCTTATGTCATCAGATGGCAGGAAACGTTAGTGAATCAAATTTGATTTTTCTCCATGTCAAAGTTTCCCACTTCAAACGAATCTCACCTTCCCTGCAGTCGTCACTTGTCCATCCTGGGCCACACAGTCCCCAGCACGTGCCGTTCACGTGGTGACAAGCTTGTTTGTCCTGACATTCTCCACACACGCGAGAACAGTTCGCTCCGAATGTGCCGCGACTGCATCCTTCAGGGAAGCAAACCGAGCAATGTTCTGATATTATACGTCAGTGAAGGTTGCAACATACTCCTCCATATGTCACAATCCCGTCTGCTATGGTATTACTTCGTATTGGTGAGAATAATAGACAGACTATTTTCAAATTTGATGATAAATCCGTCATCTTTTCTTTATTTCTTTTTAAAATGTGAGGTGTAATTGGCGTCATTATTTACTGTTGTCATGTGAAGTTATGGAAATATTACCCCCGTAAGAATTACCGTAGTAATTTTAAGTAGTCATTTTGCTATCCTTGAAATATATCATATGTATTTACATACCTGTTTACATGTATATTGTATAATTGATATTCACTGAATATCAAATACCAACACATGACGGGACAGATGATTGTGCTGTAGTTATAAGGTGTTGTTTGTTTGTTTGTTTATTGTTTAACGCCGCACTCAGCAATATTCCAGCTATATGATGGCGGTCTGTAAATAATCGAGTCTGGACCAGACAATCCAGTGATTGACATCATGAACATCGATCCACGCAAAATGGATCGATGATATGCATCAACCAAGTCAGCAAGCCCCAGTCAGCCGAACATCATGGCAGTACATATATTATGCAACACGCACCAAATCCTATCTACGTAACACATTTACACTAGTATCCTTGTATTAGGCATAACATTGTTTGCTGAAGTGCAATCAAGAACAATGTATGTTTGTCTGAAGGTAATAATGCAATAAACAAATTAATTGATATATTAAACAATCACATTATATTACAAGTGCAGAAAGAAATTATTTGCCTCTTACTTTGTGTACAGATCTGGTTCGTCCACCCATCACTGCATCCACTCGGGCAGGCACCGTTGACATGGTGACAGGTCTTGGAGTCACGACAATGTCCACATTCTCCAGTACAGTTGGCACCATATGAACCAAGACTACACACTGAATGACAAAGAATTCAACACGACTGTGAAGCAAATGCACAAAACATAAAGTTCTGTGCCGAATACTTCCGGCTAAATGACATCACATTCATGACTTTTTTTCCAAGTCGTACCAACAAGCCAAATATGCTGAGACGAAACAACACTGCATTTTTAAAAAAAGATAAATGCAGATAAATCCAACATGTCGTATTTTTCGATGCTTATTCATATCATCTATCACCACCCTCTATTTTGAAATTTGTGGTTGTACCATATTGGAATCTGGACATGTACGAACAGAATATAAATTACATAAATAATAAAACAAGAAAAAATAAACATATTTACATATGCTTGTTTATGCTAATTGGAATCAAAGTCCGCATGATAAGAATGTTACGTTTGTTTATGTATCTAGTTTTTTTAGCCAAAATACTGCGGTCAATTATTTGTTTACACCTAATCACATCCTTTTCATGCAGTTACAATACATCCAAATGTATGTGCATGTATGGATGATACATTCAGTCTGTGACCTGTGTGCAAGGCCACTGTAATGGTTCATATAAATCAACGGAATCCGATCAAGGGTAATGAAGGAAAGGATGATTCAATGTGGAAAAGATTCATAACCATGTGGACAAATGTTGTTGTATATAACCTTGAATGCAGTCTTCTCCCTTCCATCCTGACTGACATCCTGACTCACACCGGCCTGTATCCCGGGGACAGGTGCCCGTCCCTCCCCCACACATCCGGGCACTGCAGTTACCCACACAGTTAGCTCCGTACTCAACATGAAGGATACATGCTGTCGACAGGAAAGTGAAGAAGTGTGATGTATATCTTCTAACTGCTGACATGCAATGTTATAGTTTGGTTTCAATCAACGCAAAAAGAAAACAATCGATCTTGAAGTTGAAGTTATGACTGGCAACAAACCTGCTGTACAGTCAGTGTCTTTCCATCCTGGCTTGCAGCCACTTTCACACTCGCCGGTCACGTGATCACAGTTGTCTGGTGAGGTCTCATCGCAATTCCTCTCTGAGCACATTTTGGAACAGCCGTCGCCATACGATTGTAAGCATTCTGTGATAAATTGCACATGCAGAAAGTTTTAAACGACTAATTGTGTATGTGAAACTCTTTTTCTGAATATGTCATTTACCACACCTTCTGTGTCGTTTGGAAAGCTATTTGTATGCAGCCGATTGGTGACTTATTTTCTTACTCTGTGTACAATCTGTTCCATTCCATCCTGCCTTACAGCCTTCAGCACACGTCCCTGTCACGTGGTCACAACTAGAGTTGTCGCCCTTGCAGTTTCTGTTCAGGCAAATCTCACTACAGTTGGCTCCATAGTGGCCAGATTCACACTCTTAAAGATAAAACAATACACAGTGATATTGTAGCGAGTCGTATAATGCTTGATTAATTTGATGATATATTGAATGAATAGGCCACTTAAACATACACACAATGACAGTGAAGAACACATTTTAGAAAATGCAAGGAACAAGTACGAACCTGTATCACACGTCTCTGTTGCCCAACCCGGTAGACAGACTCCGCCAGGACAGACACCGCTCACGTAGTCGCACACCTCGCTGTCACAGTGGCAGTAGTTGTCACAATCAGCGCCGAAAGTACCATTGCTACACACTGTTAATGCATGAAGTCCATTAAAAAAACACGCTGCAAAGCAATATGTTCAACACGTTTTGTACATTTGGTCAAGAAAAATAATGTGATTCATGTTCATTTAGAGTAAAACGCTATGAGAAAAACATAACATGTCTGGATTGTAAGTTGAAGAGTATGACTTCAACGCATGCTAAACTTACCCAACCATCTTATACATGTACACTTAGTCTTACTTTGGCGCAAAGATATTCGTCTGATTGAATGTCAAGTCCTTTGTGCAAATGATGGATTACTAGATCGGAACCTTTTAAATTTATCTGAAAAACATTCTGCTTTAGTGTATTCGGCAACAGGGTAGATCCTGGGTACCTTTAGGAGCGCTTGTTTCAACAGTTGATCTGTCTGAGTGTGTGTCATTGTATCGATTAATATTCATTCAATCAAGCACTCGTGCACTTGGTCGCCTCTTGATTTCAGCCAGTTATGATAAAACATTCTGTGGCTTGAACGAACATTCACAAACGTGTTACGTTCCAAGTTGGTTGTCCTTGTTCTGAACGAACCACACACGTACTATTCCATATTCGACGTCGACATATTGAAGGATTTAGGGCAAAGGTGACAACGGTGGCGCAGGTTAGGTAATCTATTCGTGAGAACCTGGTATCATGAGTTATTGGTAGTGATTCATAAACACATGCTTAAGGTACAGTCGGCAGCTTACAATATACTCTGCTTATGTTTAAATAGGTTTGCAGCACGTATTCCCAATAACCACCATACGTCTATTTAATTCACTATTTGACATTGTTGTCTGTCATGAAGTTTAACAAACATATTTATAAATATTTACCATGATACAACATTCAATCATTACGGAAATTGTTTTGACAAGTTTGTCTGCAATTCGTTTCCATGCAGCAGGTTTGTAATCAAACCTTGATTTAGTCACGACAAATTCGCCAAAATTAATTTTAGCTTTCAAGGAAAATATATGTCAGTCTGTGGTTGTATAGTTGTTAGAATAGATATAGTACATTCACTAACCTAATACATGTATTTACATTTTATAACAATAGAAGTGGGTACAAAGAGATCATTGATTTTTACCGTCAACCTCCACTTCACAGAATCCATTGTTGGATGGCTATAATATCTGGTTCGTTGTTTGTACACAGGAGAAGATAGTGCCCTTTACCAGCACAAGAGTCATTCAAAACATGTAAAATAGTATTGCAATACTTTCAACAGAAGTTATGAAATCTAACAAAAATCAAAACACAAATATATGTTGGTATTATGTCAATAACAACGCTCGTACTCCTTTATACATATGTACATTGCGAGTTATGTATTCGTATTGCAAACACAAGTTATTTAACGTTTCCAATTCCAAAATTATAAACGAAGATGGGTAATTGTGTTATTTGCCTATACGAAGAGATAAGATGCATTCAGGATGAATATGGTTTGTTTTGTGTGTGTGTGTGTGTGTGTGTAGGGGGGGGGGGGGGGGGGGGGGGAATTATAAAGTTAAATTATGTAACCACATTTACAGATATTTGGTTCTAATGACGGCTTAAGTGTAATATGAAACATAACCAGTACCGTCAACCTCCACTTCACAGAAATCCAGGACTGGTTCTCTCAGACCATGAAGTTCGTTGTTGACAGTGGTGGTGTACAGGACCAGATAGCGCCCTTCGCCTGAACATGTGACGTTCAAAACATCAGGTATGTCTGTCCCGTCTCTGTTCCCTGTCACGTTGTAGCAGTTGATTCCATCAGTTGGGGAGGCGTCAGTATCAGCTATGTAGATCTGGATACCATTCCGACGAACTTTATCTGATCAATAAATCACCAATGTTAGTTCTTCAACATTACCGCTGTATACATCAATCAATATACTAGAACGCTATAAATGTGCTCAGTGTCCCATACTTAGCCTGTTGATATATACTCACGAAGCCTTTGAGTAATCTTTTTTGTGATTCTGGTCAATAATATTAGATACCCGAGGTAAACATCTGCGCTGACTTATAAGTTTGACTACTTCATGGTATGTTTCCGCATGTTGTACCATGTCAAAGTCTGTATATTAATACGGTTTATTCTCGTTTGATACGTTGCCGTTAACGTCTGACAATTCTAAATATATTGTAAGGGCGCTCCTAGCGCGAAGCTCCCCAGTGACCGAGGAGTTCACTCAACTTTGAGTGCTCCGTTCGCCTCAAACACTCTGTCTCACAGCACTTTGTATTGTGTTTCATTAAGATGGTGCAGTCGGTTTCATCTGCGAATCAGCGCAGGAAAGCACATTGTTTCGGTTCATGAACCACGCATGAGGGGAATAATGACACAAGACGTGTAGAATCATGAGGAATTTAGTAAATCACCTCACCAAATATAAAATGTTAAACTGAACTAAACCAAGAAAAAAAACACCTCAATATACAAAAACTCACGAACTTATTATAAATATTTCTGTTCAATTATTGCGTATGAAACAACCTATATTTCAAAATACCTATACTTATTCCTCGACTTACATATACCTATACCTACTTTTCTACAAACTAAACTAACGCCTCCTTGGTCTAGTAGATAAAGCGTCTGCCCGGAAGGCGGAAGGTCGGGGGTTCGATCCCCGGCCGCGTTACCATTCAAGGCAAGCTCATAGGTAATCAGCACATCAAAGAAAGCCTAGAACCAGATGTTGTTCTGCCTTTCGACAACCATGAACTAGCCACAGGATCTCAGTTCATGTATAATAACGCCAGACCCTATCATTCCATCAATGACAGCCTACCTCCTTCAGAACAGAGCTTTCACGAATCATGTGTGATGTGCCGTATACAGTCACAGGAGCCTCTTGTACAGAATCTGCGTGAATTGGAAGCAACTTTGCATCGGGAGTGGCTGCAGTTGCCCATTCTGCACACCTGACGCTACAGGTATGACGCGCAGGGTGGAGGCTGTCAACCGGGCATGTGAAGGGTTTACTTGTTACTAAACCCTTGAACTACGGGTGTCATTTAGGGACTAAAAGTGACCTTTCCATTCAGAAAACAACACCCCTGAAACATCTGTATGAAGACTGCAGTTCCATATTTCATAATAAATGATTTCTCATTGTCAGTGGGTTGTCCAGATCACCATCGTAAAACTGATCGCATTTTGTCTTTAACAACATTTGTTTGGTCAGTCACTAAAATATTACAGGGGGTCCTTGGCTCTTTTTCCAGGTGTATTTCAACGTAACATTTAATTTGGCCACAACTGTGGTCGGTTGGTTTTCCTTGTACTCACAGTCTGTTCTGAAGTATATGGTGACGTTTTGTACAAGTATTTCCTCCCCAAGATCAACGCTCCACCACGCATCTGTTATGGCGTTGTTCCAGAGTGAATGAAAGCACACGTCCGTGCTGTTTGCTCTGGTGTCTCCATTTACAGCATTGCTTGACTTCTTATAGATTGAGCTGGCTGATGTTATTTGATTGAGAGCCATATTGCCTGTAATAAAATACATATGATCGTGCATTATGTCTTGCTTGTAATCATCTGGTGAAATACATTGAAGTACACAAACATTTAGAGGCAAAAATGGTTCAGCTATTTAGTTTTCGACAGATAGCTACATCACGCATATAGATGTTTTAAGCAAAACATCAATTTAAATCCAATCATGGATATACTCAGGTTGATTAAGCGAAAGATGTGAAAATGTTCCACCCGCTATATTGACATTTTATACAAATAACTGTTCTTGGCATTCCCTCTATCAGAACTAATGACCGTGTGTTATAATCCTGTCTTGCGACCATGCATGTGTTTGTGTTCGTTTTTGTTTGTTTGTTTATTGCTTAACGCCACATTCAGCAAACGTCCGGGCTGTAAATAATCCAGACTGGACCAGACACTTGATACCCATAGTCCAATATTGTGAGCAACGATTTACGCAGTATGGTGACAGGCAATGAAACAAGGCACCGAACCTGAGCACCTGATTCATTTGGCCGCCTCCTATGTAAATGTTGCTGAGGACCAACAATTCTAATCCAGAATTCCCATAGGCTGCTACCATGTATAATGGCACAATATATGACAAGTGTCGTCAAAGTGTCAATGCGCAGCATATATCATGTGAGTAAAGAATAGAAGAAGAAACGCATTCAAGAACCTGGACTAAAACGCAAAGGTCATCTCATGATAGCGCCTATACCACAGCAGCTATAAATGTAAGAATGTTTTTTATTATTTCACGGCCATAATAATTGTCCCACAAACTATTGGCCATGGGTTAAGTTTACTAAGTCATGTTGACTTCAGTGTTTTTCTAGATAGTTAGTGCCATTAATGTGGTGTAATGCTTGCAAAGGCGATTATCGGACCGAGAAACGAAGCAGCCTGTGTGCTTTGCCTGACCGTATACACCTAGATACGGTCTCTTCATACGTGATGTGTTGTCAGTTCAAAAATGAAAGTCGCATGGACTGTTGGGGTCACTCGTTTCCCATGTTACATGAGATGCCTTTCTAACAGAGATTGTGAGAAGCCTTACAGCTTACACTACATGCACGCAGTAGTATCTGTTATGATCGAAGATGAAGTGACCGATGTAAATCTATTCTTCTTATTCGTGTTGATTCTTGTGAAATTTCACGTCGAATAATGAATACTTTACGACTCTGACGACAAACGCAATGCTTTGATCACACTGGATGAAGTGTTGATGACTGCATAGTAATGGTACATTCTTACCAAATATATGTTGTTACCTCCGCCGTTCACAAGATGTGTTCATAATCATTACACTGGCGACAAGGTGACATGGCCACAAATGCTTCGCCATGTTCCGTTGGGAAGGGGAAGAACATTTGTTCACGAAGTACAGTATCGTGTTCAATTTTCATGCAACAAGTTTACTCAGAATCGTTTTCTACCTAATCGGAAACTGATAGCAGTTCCTAATCAACTGTGTTCTTTTTCAATAAAATACATCTAGGTACCATTTCAATAATTCAATGACAGCTCATCAGCATTTTAGGTTTTGTTTTGTTTAAAGTAAATTAATGACATAGGACAGAACTTAGAAAGTATATTTAGTTGAATAACATTTCAATGTAGCAAGAGTTTACATCAACAAAACTTACGTTTCTGACATGTCGGTCCTGACCAACCTGTGTAACAATCTTCAGGGTTACAGCCATTGGTAGCATCACATTTCGCCACAGGACAGTGACATTGGTAACCACATTCGTACCCGTATGTTCCATCAGGACATATGGCTGAAACATGATATACATGTAAAGTATGGGCAGATGCCTGACACTGAATACATATCAAGGATGCCTGTGACTGAATTTTATCAGAGATCTCCAGCAGCACTGGTTGTAGTTTGTACCGAACGGACAACAGCCTGACACTGAACATAAAACGTCAGCGCCAGATAATAATAACTCCTGATTATCCGACGAAACAGATTATATTGAGCTTAAAATGCTTAATAGCGGTGAAAAATATATAGAATGAGTCACTGAAAATCGGCGATGACAACGGGTGTTCGCGAAAAGACATATCTGAGAAAGGGACATTAGTTGGTATCACCATCAGGACAGCTGCCTGTAGCAGGAGTATCACGTCAGTGATAGACAGCTACACTGCTAGCCGTATGTACAACCAGGACAGATGCCTGTTATAGATGTATTATATCAGAGATAGACAGTGACACTGGTAGCCTCACGTACAACCAGGACAGCTGCATATAACAGGAGAATTACGGGACAGCTGCATGTAATAAAACTATTATACCAAAGATAGATAATGATACAGGTAGCCGTATGTTCCATCAGGACAGATGTCTGTAACAAAAGTATTATATCAGAGATAGACAGTGACACTCGTAGCTGTATATCAGATAAGAACTGCTGTCTGTAGCAGAAGTATTATATCAGAGATAGACAGTGAAACTGGTTGAGTATGTACCATGAGGACAGATGTATGTAACAAAAGTATTATATCAGAGATAGACAGTGACACTCGTAGCTGTATATCAGATAAGAACGGCTGTCTGTAGCAGAAGTATTATATCAGAGATAGACAGTGAAACTGGTTGAGTATGTACCATGAGGACAGATGTCTGTAACAAAAGTATTATATCAGAGATAGACAGTGACACTCGTAGCTATATATCAGATAAGAACGGCTGTCTGTAGCAGAAGTATTATATCAGAGATAGCCAGTGACACTGGTAGCCGTATGTACCATCAGGACAGCTGCCTGTAACAACAGTATTATATCCAGAAATAATACCATATTAAAAAATATCAAGGAGTGAAGTCAAACCCGTTTCAGGCTCCGCAGACTCTGTTTCTGGGAACTGTATAACATGTTTACTTATAACCATATTATCATGTTTATAGATATCTACGATACACCAATGGTGTATTTATTTTAAAATGAAACATTTCGCGTACTGTATTCCTCATTTCATTTGTCTTTTTCTTTTAGACATTCTGTGTAATGTGTCGTAATTTCGAGTATCCCCTCGGTATAACCATTATTTTATCGTTATATCGTTATAAGTTTGTCTGGTTATTGAAATATATATTTCGCTATTTTACACAGTAGACAAGGTGCATTCGGTGAAAGGACACATATCTGCTGCAGGACTTTCTGCGTGGAAGCACTAGGAACGACTCTTTTCGAAATTACGTGAACATAAGTACAGGGGAAATATAAGTCAGAATGTCGAAAGAAATATTTTGGCATAACGAGAAAATAAACCGCATAGAATAGAGAGAATATTAATTAATTGACGAGATATAAATTAATAATTTCGAAATAAAATCATATCATTAAAATAAAGTTTAAATAACTGAAAATGCGAGAAAATAACTGAAATTACAAAAAAACGTGAAAATTTGAGAAAAATAAATACATAATTGAAATAACCAAATAAACTAGAAATTTCGATTTAAAAAAAAAAAAATATGCTACCAAAGTAGCACTATTAGGAAAATATATTCTAACAGTTGGTGTGAGAGTATAGATTTCGCTAAATACATATCAGTTTGTGTCAGGTGATATAGTTTTATATCACATCCACAAAGTGGCTGAGGGTAAGCAAACACGGAGATTCAGGTATGTATTCCGCTATAAATCACAACACTGTGACATGCACCCACATCAGACCGCAATTTGTTACCTGGTCTGTAGATAACGTTACCAGCTACTACTTCACAAGTTTCAGCAATGTGTGTTTTATTTGCTCCAGTTGCCGCTTAAACATCCCCAAGGAACCTGTGATCGGGTCAATATAAAAAAGGAAGGTAATGCAAGCAAGCACTCAAACTTCTCAGTCTCTCTAATGCTTTACTGCCGACTTGAGACACACGTAGGAGACAAACTATACTTCCTGACGTAAAGATACACACACATCCCTAAGATCTCACATCAACAGTGCCGCCAGATGTTTTAACCTGCAGCACCATTGGAGAGCTCATTGTAACTCTTCTGTGTAATACACGCTTCTCGGAAAAAAAACCCATACTTCCTAACACTCTTTCTTGTATAACCTAAGCGAATATGTTTTTCCCACGTTGAAATAAACCAGTGCAGTGTATGGCTTAACCCGAATGCTCTGATATATTGACAATAGTTTTCATTTCATTAGAATCTATTTTACATTTAAGCATTTATACATACTTAGAATAAACATAACTTCAACATCAACGTACTTAAATTAATGATGATGTGAAATATAATAGGTGTTAACGTCGCATTCATCAAGATTATTGCACGTCTGTGTGTGTGTGTGTGTCTACTGGTCCTGGCTAATGCCGGTTAAATAGTGCTACCCTACTCAGAGACGGTCTACGACTACCTTGTTTTATCACTGTAATGCCGATTACCAGGCAGGAAAGCAAATACCATATAACTTATTTTAAAGACAACTCGACATTACCTGCCACAACGTCCAGCATGCAGACACAGAGCAGCACCCCGAGCACGGAGACCTCCATGTTGCCGAGTGAACAAACCAGGAAGTTTATTGTGGTGTCCACATAAAGATGACAAGGACGTTATCAACGTGAGTCGCCTCACCCCACGCGTCAGAGTCCTGTAAACACAGTCATTTGGGCTTTCTTATGATGAAATCATGTCCTCATTCGTTTAATATCGGTGTAATGGAGGCTTATCGTCTTTCAATCCAGTGGCTGCCTCACACAGTCAGACACTATCTATCGATTTGTACGTTGCTTTCTACAATGACATGACTTTTTCGGTAGCCTAAATGTAGAGGATGTTATTACACTCTGTTTAACCACTTCAGTCCCTACTTACCACCCTGATAATAAATATAACGTCGTGTACCTGACACTGTCCGTATGCTTTTATGATAAGCGCTTACTCTTTTCGAGTCCAATTGTTGCCTAACAAATATTCCCAGCACAGATAGAATCGACATCATTATCAATTATCGAGTATTTCTTAAAAATAAACATATAAACTTCGTGTGGTGGTGGATGTGATACCACTATGTTAACCTGCACCAGTCCCTACTTAACACACTGACACAACATATTCACGACCTGCACCAAGCCCTACTTACCACCCTGACACAGATTTACGACCTGCACCAGGCCCTACTTACCACCCTGACACAACATATACATGACCTCCACCAGGCCCTACTTACAACCCTTACACAACATATACATGACCTGCACCAGGCACTACTTGCCACCCTGACACAACATATACATGACCTCCACCAGCCCCTACTTACCACCCTTACACAACATATACACAACCTGCACCAGGCCCTACTTACCAGCTTGCAAAACATATACATAACCTACACTAGGCCCTACTTACCAGCTTGACACAACACATACATGACCTACACTAGGCCCTACTTACCACCCTGAGACAAAGATCTCCCGACCTGCACCAGGCCCTACTTACCACCTTGACACAACATATACACAACCTCCACCAGGCCCTACTTACAACCCTTACACAACATATACATGACCTGCACCAGGCACTACTTGCCACCCTGATACAACATATACATGACCTGCACCAGGCCCTACTTACCACCCTTACACAACATATACACAACCTGCACCAGGCCCTACTTACCAGCTTGCAAAACATATACATAACCTACACTAGGCCCTACTTACCACCTTGACACAACATATACACAACCTCCACCAGGCCCTACTTACAACCCTTACACAACATATACATGACCTGCACCAGGCACTACTTGCCACCCTGATACAACATATACATGACCTGCACCAGGCCCTACTTACCACCCTTACACAACATATACACAACCTGCACCAGGCCCTACTTACCAGCTTGCAAAACATATACATAACCTACACTAGGCCCTACTTACCACCTTGACACAACATATACACAACCTCCACCAGGCCCTACTTACAACCCTTACACAACATATACATGACCTGCACCAGGCACTACTTGCCACCCTGATACAACATATACATGACCTGCACCAGGCCCTACTTACCACCCTTACACAACATATACACAACCTGCACCAGGCCCTACTTACCAGCTTGCAAAACATATAAATAACCTACACTAGGCCCTACTTACCAGCTTGACACAACATATACATGACCTACACTAGGCCCTACTTACCAGCTTGACACAAAATATACATGACCTACAATAGGCCCTACTTACCACCCTTAAACAACATATACATGACCTGCACCATGCCCTACTTATCAGCTTGACACAACATCTACATGACCTGCACCAGGCCCTACTTACCACCCTGACACAACATATACATGACCTACACCAGGCCCTACTTACCACCCTTACACGACATATACATGACCTGAACCAGTCCCTACTTACCACCCTTCCACAACATATACATGACCTCCACCAGCCCCTACTTACCAGCTTGACACAACATATACATGACCTACACTAGGCCCTACTTACCACCCTGACCGGCAGTCGCACGACCTACATCGGGCCCTACTTACCACCCTTACACAACATATACATGACCAACACTAGGCCCTACTTACCACCCTGACACAACATATACATGACCTGCACCTGGCCCTACTTACCAGCTTGACACAACATATACATGACCTACACTATGCCCTACTTACCACCCTGACCGGCAGTCGCACGACCTACATCGGGCCCTACTTACCACCTTGACACAACATATACATGACCAACACTAGGCCCTACTTACCACCCTGACACAACATATACATGACCTGCCCCAGACCCTACTTACCACCCTTACACAACATATACATGACCTGCACCAGGCCCTACTTACCGGCCTTACACAACATATACCTGACCTGCACCAGGCCCTACTTACCACCCTGACCGGCAGTCGAACGACCTACACCAGGCCCTACTTACCAGCTTGACACAACATATACATGACCTACACTAGGCACTACTTACCACCCTTACACAACATATACATGACATGCACCAGGCCCTACTTACCACCTTGACCGGCAGTCGCACGACCTACACCAGGCCCTACTTGCCACCCTGACACAACATATGCATGACCTGCACCAGGCCCTACTTATCACACTTACACAACATATGCATGACCTGCACCGGGCCCTACTTACCACACTTACACAACATATACATGACCTGCACCAGGCCCTACTTACCACACTTACACAACATATACATGACCTGCACCAGGCCCTGCTTACCACACTTACACAAAATATACATGACCTGCACCAGGCCCTACTTACCACCCTGACCGGCAGTCGCACGACTTAGACCAGGCCCTACTTACCACCCTGACACAACATATACATGACCTACACTAGGCCCTATTTACCAGCCTTACACAACATCTACACAACCTGCACCAGGCCCTACTTACCAGCTTGCAAAACATATACATAACCTACACTAGGCCCTACTTACCACCTTGACACAACATATACATGACCTACACTAGGTCCTACTTACCAGCTTGACACAACATATACATGACCTACACTAGGCCCTACTTACCACCCTTAAACAACATATACATGACCTGCACCTTGACCTACTTATCAGCTTGACACAACATCTACATGACCTGCACCAGGCCGTACTTACCACCCTGACACAACATATACATGACCTACACCAGGCCCTACTTACCAGCTTGACACAACATATACATGACCTACACCAGGCCCTACTTACCACCCTTAAACGACATATACATGACCTGAACCAGTCCCTACTTACCACCCTTACACAACATATACCTGACCTGCACCAGGCCCTACTTACCACCCTGACCGGCAGTCGCACGACCTACAACAGGCCCTATTTTCCACTCTGACACAACATATACATGACCTGCACCAGACCCTACTTACCAGCTTCACACAACATATACATGACCTACACTAGGCCCTGCTTACCACACTGACCGGCAGTCGCACGACCTACATCGGGCCCTACTTACCACCCTGACACAACATATACATGACCAACACTAGGCCCTACTTACCACCCTGACACAACATATACATGACCTGCACCAGGCCCTACTTACCACCCTTGCACAACATATACATGACCTGCACCAGGCCCTACTTACCACCCTTACACAACATATACCCGACCTGCACCAGGCCCTTCTTACCACCCTGACCGGCAGTTGGACGACCTACACCAGGCCCTACTTACCACCCTGACACAAGAACCACACGACCTGCACAATGCCCTACTTACCACCCTAACACAACATATACACAACCTGCACCAGTCCCTACTTACCACCCTGACACAACATATACATGACCAACACTAGGCCCTACTTACCACCCTTACACAACATATACATGACCTGCACCATGCCCTACTTACCATCCTTACACAACATATACATGACCTTCACTAGGCCCTACTTACCACCCTTACCGGCAATCGAACGACCTACACCAGGCCCTACTTACCACCCTGACACAACATATACACGACCTGCCCCAGGCCCTACTTACCACCCTGACCGGCAGTCGCACGACCATTCACCAGGCCCTTCTTACCACCCTGACACAAGAACCACACGACCTGCACAATGCCCTACTTACCACCCTAACACAACATATACACAACCTGCACCAGTCCCTACTTACCACCCTGACACAACATATACATGACCTACACTAGGCCCTACTTACCACCCTAAGACAAAGTTCTCACGACCCGCACCAGACCCTACTTACCACCTTGACACAACATATACACAACCTCCACCAGACCCTACTTATCACCCTTACACAACATATACATGACCTGCACCAGGCCCTACTTACCACCCTTACACAACATATACATGACCTACACCAGGCAGTACTTGCCACCCTGACCCAACATATACATGACCTGCACCATGCCCTACTTATCACCTTGACACAACATCTACATGACCTGCACCAGGCCGTACTTACCACCCTGACACAACATATACATGACCTACACAAGGCCCTACTTACCAGCTTGACACAACATATACATGACCTACACCAGGCCCTACTTACCACCCTTAAACAACATATACATGACATACACCAGGCCCTACTTCCCACCCTTCCACAACATATACATGACCTGAACCAGTACCTACTTACCACCCTTCCACAACATATACATGACCTGCACCAGGTCCTACTTTCCAGCTTGACACAACATAAACATGACCTACACTAGGCCCTACTTACCAGCTTGACACAACATATACATGACCTACACTAGGCCCTACTTACAAGCTTGACACAACATATACATGACCAACACTACGCCCTACTTACCACCCTTAAACAACATATACATGACCTGCACCATGCCCTACTTATCACCTTGACACAACATTTACATTACCTGCACCAGGCCGTACTTACCACCCTGACACAACATATACATGACCTACACTAGGCCCTACTTACCAGCTTGACACAACATATACATGACCTACACCAGGCCCTACTTACCACCCTTAAACAACATATACATGACCTACACCAGGCCCTACTTACCACCCTTCCACAACATATACATGACCTGAACCAGTCCCTACTTACCACCCTTCCAGAACATATACATGACCTGCACCAGGTCTTACTTACCAGCTTGACACAACATATACATGACCTGCACCAGGTCCTACTTACCAGCTTGACACAACATAAACATGACCTACACTAGGCCCTACTTACCACCCTTGAACAACATATACATGACCTGCACCATGCCCTACTTATCAGCTTGACACAACATCTACATGACCTGCACCAGGCCGTACTTACCACC